TGATGACAGAGCTTGGGATGATGATGTTGCACCGCGGCAGGTAATGGGTGCCGTCGGGTCACGCGCCTGATCGGGTGGCTGGCTGGACGGACGGCGCGGGTGTCATGGGGTCGGGAGTCACAGCTGAGGGGTATGGAAGATGGCTGCTAGCTCCTGGTTGGGTAGTGAGACGGGACACCGGGCGCGCCACCCGAGCGGCGACTTGGGGAGTCGGTCGGCCGGTGAATAGATGAGAGGCACGCGCTGAGATCCCAGAACATGTCCAGGTGCGGTGTTGGCCGCCGTACCGAGACGTGCTTGCCAAGGAGCCGGTGGCTGCGCAGTCACCCTGCCGGAGCCGGCGACCCGTACCAGGTATTGGTCATATTGCCTGACCTCAATGACCGAGCCGGGTTTCTTCCACCTGTTTGGGAATGTTCCGACCTGATTCTGTATCTGGATGTGATCTCGCACTTGACGTGGGTGCAGGCATGGCGTGTATTCGGACCAGCGTCCCGCGTGCCATTGATGCCTGTTGCGGAGGGCATCTTCGCGAGACGCCAGTGTGCTGCGCCACGTCTCGTGCGGGCGGTACCGTCTGGGTAGGACTGGGATGAGATCCCGGATGGGGCGACCGGAGAGGCACATTGCCGGATACATCTCTTTGTCCCGGTCAGGCATCTTTAGGTACTGAAGAACGGCACACAGGAAGGTGTGGTTGTCGAGGTCGCCGTCAGGAGCAGTGATGTCTGTGATTATTTGTTTCATCGTCCTGACACCGGTTTCTGTGCGACAGTTCCTGTGGATGAACGGCACCGGCGACAGTCTCTGGCGGACTCCACAGGCACGAAGAAATTGACGAGTGATGGTCGACGTGAATTCTGGGCCTCCGTCCGAGACCAACTCGTCGGGTACGCCGAATGTGACAAAGGTGCGGCGGAGGCATCCGATGAGATCACGTGCGCATTGTCGAGGCCCGGCGCGCTTAAACAATTAATTGGCCACTTGGAAAAGCGATCCACGATCTCCAGTTATTGGTACTCTCGATGGTGGAAGAAATCAGCGCACACGCAATGGAAGGGGTACGTGGGAGATTCGAGAGGGCAGGTCGGTGCAGCCGGTTGAGACGGGGCCATCCTGGTGCACTAGAGACACGTAGCGCGAGCAGAGGCTATGTTGCCAGTGAGCCTGGGCCAACGACAGCAGTTTTGGCTCGAGGCCACGTTAACGTGACGTGTTGGCGTGTGGAGTGTAGGGCCGATAATATGTCTGGCTGGAGGGATGAAGGAATGACCATCCTGTCTTTAAACAGCACAGCTCCATCGATCGTGTGTAGGCCGTGCCGGAACTTGTGCATAGTCTCGCACTGGTGGTGGGAGGTCTGACTTCTTCTCAGGCATCCCAGATTCCGTGTCGGAAACGAGCTCGTTCATGACCGGGTCACTTGTGGTTTCCAATTGAACTCTCCTCCACGTGATCACCCTAACGTTCATTGCAAGGACCAAGGAGACCGCCGAGCCCGTGCTGCTTCCTTCCTGAGAGTCCATGCTGTCATCGGCCAGTGCTGGTGTACGGATCCCACACAGTAGGGAGGATGGTGACAGCCTGGGTGTGTCGCTGTCTTCGATAGCCGCGACGTCGCCCTCCAGTGATAACTACCCAGGCGCCCTTGTCGGTTGTCGGGAGACATTGTCTGCGGCTCATTGTTTGACACCGCGAATGTGGATGATGGTGAGGCGGTAGCGCAGGGTTTTCTCCTTGAGGCTGTGGAGTCGGTTGTTTGACATGTTCTCCACGGACCGGCCACCGAAGATTTTTACCCGGCGGCTCATGATCGATGGTGAATGGCAGGCTCTTGCAGCCAAAACGAAACACCAAGTCTTCTCCAAGGCGTCTGACATCGCAAATACCTTATCCTCGACTGGCGCGTGGCGTGTTTCGGCGGGGTTGGTAAGCCTGCTACCCAGTTAAGTGGCTCTTAGCCGTCGCGGCAGTAAACGAAATGGGCTGAGGGCACGTACAGTGCTTTTGAAGGAGTCAAACGCATGTGCCCTCTTTCCACCAGTCCGTTGCGAGACATGTCGTCCGGTGTGGGTCGAAGATTGTCACACTCTCCTCAATCTCGCCGATAATGACTGACTTGGAGTGTTCGAAGGGGGCGTCGAGCCGGGGACCCCAGCAGAATGGGGTATTGGGCCTTCAGGAGTCCGCGGATGGGCCACATTTCCTCTGCCATGCTGGAGGCGTGGGATATCTGGTTTACTAGCCTGAACCAGGAGCGGATGTCGGTGATGTTCCGCAGCAAGGGGAAGTCCCGGATGGCCTAGATGAAGTGGTCACATGGGCGTACGGTTCTCCAAGATGATGTCGAACCTTGCAAACTTTGCGCTGTCTTAGGCGAAAACGAATTTGGTGGGGTTCAGGGTGATTTCGTTACGACCACGTACGTCTAATCACTCGACGGTCTGCTTGAAGCACCCTTCTATGGAGCCTGACCAGAGAAAGACACCGTTGATGCACTTGGTCTTTCTGGGAGGTTGGCGACGATATCGTCATATCTACATTTGTATCCATCTCCAGATGAAGTCATTATCCAACTCCAGATGATCAGACCAGCCTTGTGAGGCAGTCCGATACCGATAGCGACCGCACGGTATTATAAAGGTGGCGAGGCTGTGGTCTTCACGTCGGAGGGATGCACTGCGGAAGTTGCTCCAAATGTCTAGGACCGGTTTCAACATTCTAACGGGGCTGATCTAGCTTGGTGAAATGGTGATTGGGTGTGGTGGGTCTCCCGAGTGACATGTCAGTGTAGGCCTTGGAAATCCACGTTCCTTCGGGGTGTGCCATCTTCTTCGGCAGTAACCATCATGCGGTGACACTAGGTGACGGGCTCATCGATCGGGACAGACTCGGGTACCCCTAGCTAGACGTCGCACCGCAATCAAGTCACGCCTTTACCTCTTCCTGCAAATGCAGGGGCACCGGTATAGGTACGGTGAGCGACGGGAGCCGTGCGAGGGTCACCCGTAAGATCCGACGGCGGGCCTTCCATAGCGTTTCGGGGCTCGTGGGGATATGCGTTCGAAAATACTCGCTACGTAGGTACTGCTCCAGCTTCCACCACTTGCCTGTTGGCAGTGGGGCGTCCCTGTTGGTCCGTATCGCATAGCCTCAGGAGGACGGCTCCCAAGATCTGCATTGTCTTGTTGTTTGCCGCAGTCTTCTTCAGTTTCGCGGTATCAGGTCTTTGTGGGTGATGTCGAACCCCTTGAGTGCACTGAGGTCAGTCAGGCAGTTTTGGCAGCCAGTGTCGGCCACTGTGCATATGCAAGACTCGCGGCTGCGAAGCATGGTGTCGACACATGGAGCTTGCTAGTCCTCAGCCGCCGTCTCGGCTGCCAGTTCCACGTTAGGCTGAGGCATGGAACGGCGAAATGCCCACTTTTCGGCCATGTCGTCGGACGCAAGATGCCTGAAAACGATCAGGACCAGCCCTTCAACTGACTCAGTGGTCATCAAAGGGCGTCGAAGGTGGCGCCAGCGTGGTTTTCCACTTCATCTGGGTTGTTGGAGCGAGGTTAGGGGCGTGTGAGGGTCATCCTTGAGTCCCACCTGTTTGATCCGGCATTTGGCTGCCTCGGGCGAGTTGGGGGGGGGGGGGGCAGCCTTGAGTCCCGCTTCTTCACCCGGCATACTGCCTCGGTGTGATGGTCCCGACCAGCGTCCGCATGTCTGTCTACACTCGGGACACTCCGGCTGCTGTATTATCAGGGCGGGGGGAGGGGAGGGGGGACACGCAGACCGTGGCCGTGGTTGCCGTAGCATCCACAGGGTTCAGACGGTTGGTCCTGGGGTCCTGGGGGTTCTGGTGGGGGCTGTGGGTTTCGTCTTTCCTTCTTCTGCGGTAGCTGCTAGCGGACGCCACGGTGGTGGCTGAACAGTCGTATATTTGAAAGGCAGAACGCTTGCCCTCATTCCTTTGCTCGAAGCTCGATGAGGCGGAGCTGGTATTCCAGGAGCTTAGACTGTTTCTCTCTGCGCTCAGGATGTCCAATTGGGCTCAGCAATGTCGGACTCAGCGATACTGCAGATGAGGGTGTCGGGGATTATCGCGTCGGTGTAGTCAACGCCTGAGTGACAGTTCGAACACTAGACTGCGAACCGACAGACGCATGCTTGTCCTTAAAGGCGGGCGCCGTAGTCATGAATCGGCTCGTCGCTATCCTGTTGCATGCTTCAGAAGATGACTCGAGCAACCATTGCATTTTTATCTCTCACAGCCAGTCGTTTGATAACAGTGAATACGTCCTCCTCGGGCTGTGAGTCTAGGATCACGCCAGCAGCTCGTGTGAGGTCTTTGCGCAGCGCCTCCTCACAGCATTCCTGAAGATAAATGGAGATGTCGGTGGGCGCTAGTCTGCCGGCGTTGCGGTATTCCACCGCATGATGAAATACCGCCAGTCGGTGCTGCTGATTCCTGCAGAATGGATGGGCAAACGCCCTTTGGTCACCTCTCCATTTATTTGGCAAACGATCAAGAGGCAAACAGCTCCATCAAAGCACTACCAAACAAGAAAAGGAAGAGGATGGGTGCATTATCCTTCAGCTGTCAACAAGTTTGTCTGCGATATAGCCTTTTGCTATATTTTGTACTACTGTAGTCTCGTCATTTTAGGACTAATTTCGCTAAGACCTTAATTTCCCTTGAACCTTTTTGGAGCCTACATTTTTTCTTCGTATTAATGACGCCTTTTCCTGTGATCAAGATACATTTTGTAATATTTGCTGTGATTATTATAGATTTATGTTGTTTATTTTTTAATACAGGAGATTCTTGTAATATGTTACATATATTTCAAAAAAAAAAAGTACAATTGTAGTCATACACTAAGTTACGTAAAATTATCATGCAGTTTGCAAATAAACAGGTGTTCTCACTCCGTGGCAGACTTGGCGCAGGCTATCTCGCGTGGAGCGCATACTGTCTTGCATGTTACTCCGCGCGATTATTTCTTGGTGGAGGGGTGGCCCGTGAGGGGTTGTGCAGGGGTGAGAGGGAGGCGGTAGGCTGTTCGAGTAGTGACAACGAGATTCAAGGAGCGAATGAGTTACTCGTTTCTCTAGCCACTAGGTGCTGTTGAAAGTTGTGCTATCAATAGCGGATATCAGGAGACGGCAAGATTAAAAATAGGGGTGACATTCCTCACTTTGGGACTTCTTGCCTCATCGCCATCTGTATTGCTGCTGTGTGGTGTTGGTATCCACACGGTTATCGTGTCACAGTTGTGGATGCTCTATGCATGCAGAACAAGATACACGCTGAAGACGTGACCTTCCACCAACAGAGTTAATTTTACGGTTTTGTGCTGCTGGAAGACTCGGTACACATATCTTCACCATCTGGACATATTTACACTACTTTCCAGAGTAGATTACTATTATATCTGGAAAAGTTTGTGCTGATATACCAATATGGAGAGTGAGGTATGCGACTATGAGAGTCTACCCACCACCAGCCCAGTCATACAAATGGCAGGTGGTGCAGTTGCTGGAGTTATGGAACACTGCATTGTCTACCCTCTGGATTCTGTAAAGGTATGTGCTGTTTTGTGATTGATGCCAATAATTAATTTGCATTGTCTGTTTGCTTTGATATGCATCTGTCTTCATCATGTTGACAGCATTTATGATTATTGGATATCTGTGTATATGGCTTATGGTGCCTGGCTCTACACTTCAAGAAATATTTCGTAGTTCCAGATATTGACGTTAGCATTAGAAATGGTGAAACAAGCTCTTTTATGTATGCTAGTAGATTTTCTAAGTGGAAAGTTCTGCATAGATAGGACAGTTCTCAGTTCAGTAACCATGCTCTTCAATGGTCATGGTTTGATTGCCATCATACATTGCACAACACAGTTGACAGCTGTTATATATGGAAATAGCATCATGAATGCCAGGTATGAAGTGAACATACCAGAGCGATATATGGATGGAACAATGAACACCTGTTACATTTTGTGGCCATCATCATAGCATGGCTTATGAACTGTCAGGATTGGAATGATGTTATTATTACATCATGAATACCAAGGTGACTTAGAAATGCCCTTCTCAATATACCTTTCTCCATTCCCATGGACACGTGGCTCAAAAACTGGAGGGGCCTATGCCTTGAGAAGAACAGGATTGTGAATAGCACCAAATGGTCCCCAAGATGTCTTTTTCAGTTCAAAACCAGATATGAATGTGGAACACTCCCCTTATTGTGTGGCTGATTTACCGCTTTGTATACTCTTCAGCTGTCTGAAATATTAAACAGCCATCCATTCAGCTTACAGCATCCATGTGTGTTGAATTGCATGAAGCTATAAACATCAGGGTCTGGCTATTTAACCGGCCGCTTGCTTGAGACTGGATGAAGCAGGCTGCTGCACAGCAGGCCTGTGCCCACCCCTGAGCACAGGTGTAATGTGTTCACAGGGGTGATCTTTGGTGATCAGGTGGTGCTGGGGTGCTGGGGGTGTGCCTTGGGCAGGGTTTTGAGCTTACAGCACAGGCTGCTTGTGTGCCCCCACCTACTGGCACCAGGTGGACCCAGTTTGCTTTGGGGCCAGAGAACATTGGACCTGAGTTAGTTTTTGGCTAGCCTGCTGATAAGGAGTGATAGGGTGAAATAGGTGGAGGAGTGACTGTGGCTTTTCTCTTCCAGTGGAAGGTATAACTACAAGGGTTACTTTGCTCTCTGTTGGAAGATGGTGGTGAGAAACCTATGATTTATTTTACTAAATGGAAATTACTGTTGTCTGTCCTATATTATGTCTGAGAACCAATCATTTTTATGTCTGGAAATGATCATCAAATTTGGTGGAACTGTGGATGAGCATGTTTTTCTGGTCTAGCCCTGTTACATACTCATTTTTTGACCAACTGCAATTGTGACAGACACAGATTGTATAGTTATTATCCAAGCTTTGGCCACCTGCCGCCAAGTCACATTGGTTACAAGTGGTTTTTGTAGCTTGTCAAAGTCATGCAACCTGCTTGCTTCTGCAAAGTATAGGCTTTTGACTAGATTTACTCACTTGTGGCTAAGCAGGGAAGTAGGTAGTTGTCTCCTTGCCCCCCATCCCTGATGACAGGATGGCAGGCAGGCAGAGAAATGACAAACACACTTTAATACCTCCTTAAAATATAGGGAATCTCTTCTTGCAAACATTATGTTTTGTAGCCACACATGTTTCATAAATCTATATCAAGGAAACTCCCTTGGCTGAACTTGAGTGTACTAAATCAGGCTTAGGACATCATTTTCTACATCAAAATGCTTATATTTTAATCAGGAGATCCACATAGTGGTTTGGGTAGTCCATGTTCTGGATCAGGAGGCTTTTTTGTCAGGAGGGAGGGGGGGGGGGGGGACTATTCCGTCTTGTCAGGTTCCCTTCATGCATTAGGAGGTTTCTGTTTTGGATTAGGAGGCTATGTCTGTATGTCAGGATTGCCTTATTCTGGAATAGGAGGCACCTTTTATGTAACTTAAGGCCACCTTTTGGAATCAGGATGTCTTGTTTTCAAATATTGAAACCCTTAGCCAGATTTGGAGGCCCCTTTGCAAACTGAAGGATTCTGTTTTGAATCTGAGGGCCCCTATATGCGTGAGGAGGTCCTTTTTTGACACAGAAGGCCCTGTTCTGGGATAGAGAGTCCTAATGGTGGATTGGGATTCCATCCATATTAACAGGAAGGCCCTTTTTTGGATATTCTGATTGTGGATTCTTGTTAACTTTATTGGTACACTTTTGATTATTGTGGGACAAAAACAACAGGTATTTGCAAAATGTGAAGTATTTTTTTGTATGCTACTCATGTATACATGCATTATAACACAGTGTGATATGGGACAAAATACTGATAGATGTTGCTTCATGCAACAATTTACTATAGTAGCACATGCCCCCAACGCCTGCCCTTGGATATGATGCTGATCTGAAGGGCCCCTTGCAAGGAGGCCCCCTTTTGTCCTCAGTTTCCTGCGGGAAAATTGTGCCCCCCCCCGCCCCAGCTGAGGAGACAACGTGCCACCCCTCCATGCTGTTGTGACATCATTCACATTGTTCAATTCATGGATTCATCAGATCATTTCGCCGTCAGTGTGTATAGCTGGGCTGTATTGTGTAGCAATATTTTTCATGTTTTTCATTGTTTTGGTACAGCTGTTCCATGCCAGATTGGTTCTCTTTGGGCCTTCTCCAGCTGACATAAGTATCCATGTTGTTCGTGTTGCGCAATGCACATTACACAGGTGTTGAAACTTCTCTTGCCTCTGCGCATCGGCAGTTACGGCCATCTTGTTTGTAATGACGATATTTCAGATAGCTCTATTTCTTTCTCTTCAATCATGACTGGATATAGCATAAAAACTTGACCACGTAAACTTTTTGCCGGAATGCTACCTTCCAACAAAATGTCAAAACGCTCGTCGTCCTTGCAGCTTGGTTGATCTTTTTGAGGATACCGTATGTGATTGGTTTGGGGGGCTTCGAGTCGCACAAGCAAGCTGGACGAAGCACAATTAAATATCTTTGGCTGACTGAAATACCGCTGTGCAATGTTTGCGGATTTCAGCAGCATTTTTTACTTTCGGTTGCAGGGCTTCAGTGGCTGAATCCCGATCGAATCGCGATTTAAATGGAAGAAATTGCGATCAACCAAATTCGCGTACGAGTGTCTTTCATTTCGACTGAATCATTCCAGTGCGCGTCTGTACTTAGCGGGAGCTGCCGTATTGTTGGTCGACAATCTCTCCACAGACCAAGCAGGTGGCCGAATGGAGGGCCGACCAGACATTAGGTCGGCCTATTTGGGTCACTAGGTCATCGGGTGTGGGGTCATTGTATCCATGCTTTAGAGCCTAAAAACTGGACCTAATTAGTGATTGGTCAGAACTCTGTTTCCCATGCACCTGAAAAGTGCGGTATGCTTAAACCGTTTCATTATGTAACAGTTTCAATGTTCATGTAATAACCAGTTAATTGTGTAATAGCTCTTGTGCTGGTTATTCGTCGATGCTGGGAAAGGAAACTTGACTGCACCATGCAGTACTTTTTCGACGAATTGCAATAAAGTGCCATGAAGTTCAATCACGTTCGGTTGCCTTTTTGCCAACGAAGGACAGCGACATGATTACGTTATGTAATAGGCTGGGGCTGGAAAGTTGCGTTGATCTCTCGTTTGCATCGCAAGACAGTGTTCCGTCATTTGATCCGTTACCACTTTGTACTCAGTAGTGCATTGCCCTATGTTCTGCGTCGCTGTTCACGTCTTCGTCTCCTCTAAAGCTGACCGTGACATTGCGACTATTACACTACTTAATACTCGTGCACTACCTGCATGACAATGTGCAATCAGCTTGGTGAGGCGTTGACCGATGCGTGGTTTGATCGCGGAAAATGAGGGTTGGATTCGCACAAGTGTCCCTTTTCTCACTCTTGCTTTGAATGAGTCGGAGGTGGTGGCATCAGACGTAGCAATAAAACGATGCTCAACAGCACCAGTTGCGAGGGAAGCGGCAGGCGGTAATCACGCCCCTCAGCGCCCGCAATGTTTGTGACGCTCGCCGTGACGTCAGAGTTTCCTCTTTCCGTTGCCGTTTAAGCCGGTTCGGTCCTCTCCACCCCTGTCCCTTCCACACCATTCAGAGGGAGCATGTGTATAAATACACAAGTGAGATCTTGGCGCCGTGGCTTGACGTCACACCGGTGGAATGTGGTTTCGTTCAAGTTAACGTTTGCCGAAATGAAACCCAACCCCAGACTGGTGGCGAACCTGGGCGCATTGCGTCGTTACCACCAACTCTGTCTAACGTCGGACTGCGTTGCCTTTCCACCTTCAGTCCTTGCTATTCAGCGTGATATCATCCCACGTCCCGTCATATCATCGCCGCGACGATAACGGATGACCCAACGGAGGGGAGCCCGTTGCCGTGTGACAAAGCCCGTGTTGTTGCGGTGTCACCGCAGCCCTCTGCTGCGCCTGTGTGATGACATGCGTCGACAGCGCGACGGGAATCGGGCGTGAGTGCTGACCTGGCCCCGTCGTCCGTTCGGAGAGATCCCTGTCCTGTCGAAACGGGCCACTTGTCGCATGACATTGGCCATCTGTACCACATTTTTCAAAGCGACGCTCCAGTGAGGGGCGTGCGGCAAATCACATCGTACACGCTGGGCACATCACGGCGCAGAACCCTTGGGCTCGTCTGGGAACGGTCTCGTGTAGCCTATTGCACCCCTACCCCGCACCCTCGCCGTCCTCTGGGGGGGGGGGGGGGGGGGGGGCGACACTGGGCTGGGGGAGGAGGTCGTAGGTCGCGACAGAGCCGCTGAAATCGAAAGCTAGCTAGAAAACAGCAACCCGAGCATGTAGGCACGCATCGACGAGACCGAGTCCACAAGTGAGTCCGCAGTACGCGCTGATGCGCACGTCTCCCAACGCGGAGGCGCACGTCTTCCAACGCGGAGGCGCTCGTCTCCCAACGATGAGGCGCATCTCTCCCAACGCGGAGGTGCACGTCTCACAGCGCGGAGGTGCCGACCGAGCTCCTCCCTTTGCCCGATGCTCTGTGCCGGCGGCGCTGACGACGCGATCTGCGTGTGGCGGCCGCTTGTAACGCCGCGTGTGACGCCCGCTTGTAGCGCCGTGTGTGACGGTCGCGTGTGACGCCGCGGTGACGATTGCGCCGCGCTGGGTTTCAGACGCGGATGCAGTCGCTGAGCCCGTCGCCGGCGGCGCAGTACCGCAGCGTGCCGGACGCCCTCTGGCGCATGGTGCGCCACGAGGGCGTGCTGCGCCCCGTGCGCGGCATGTCGGCCGTCGTGGTGGGCGCCGGGCCGGCGCACGCGCTCTACTTCGCCTCGTACGAGAACCTGCGGGACGCCGTGCAGCGGGCGCGCCTCGTGCCGCACACGCTGGCGCCGGGCGTGGCCGGCGTGTTCGCCACGCTCATCCACGACGCCATCATGACGCCGGCCGACGGTGAGTGCGGCGGCGGGCCGCCGGCGGCGCGGCGCGGCGCGGCGCGGGCCTTGCGCCGGTGACTGCGGCGCACCAAGGAGAGCAGGGAGATGCCTCGCCACTCGGATCGGTAGCGTTTGAAATTTCGTCCAAATGCTAGGACCGGGCGAACGTTTATTTTGATGAAGCATAAATGGTATTATCACTGAGAAATTGGGTGTATAAGTTTTATTATAACATCCCGCGAAATTAGCCAGAGTCGGCGCCGCTTCGTCATACAGGGGCTTCCCATGCCACACCTGAGTCATACGCTTGATCGCGCCCGGAATCCCATCGGGTGTGTCTGGAGCCTTGCTGTCGGCGTTTAGTTGCGCTGGCGGTGAAGTCGGCACGTTGGCCGCACAGCTTGCTTTCATCCCTTTCGCTCCCTGTGGCGTGTGGATATGTTGTGTCTGGGCTGGACGTGTGCCTTATACGCGATCCATCGTCATCTCGCTTGGAGGAGTGCGTATGTACCATAATGTCCAGTGGTGCGAGTGACGTAGGCGGCACCACGCATCAAATTAACTTCCTTGTTGTGATTTGGAAGTCGACGATCGGTCACTTAGACTTGAAACTTGCTCCAACTCACTCCTGCATATCAGTCTTCTACTGTCGTTGAGCCAACACCGCGTACGCTGGGTCTGCTTGCCATCCATGCGTGACGCCATATGGCTGTCTTCGCGGGACGCACTTGCACGACACGCTGAAGTTCAGTGATGGCGTTACGACACGCACTCTGACAGCACCAGCGGCATGACAACTGGCAAGTAGGACTGACGAATGGCAGCTGGTAAGTGAACAGTGCACGGCATTGAGCACGTTCCACTCTCACCTCGCTGGGTCGACAGTGGTGAGCTGTCGACCCAGCGAGGTCAGACTGACACAGACAGGTCAGGTCACACAGACAGCGAAGTGTGCGCTGTTGACCCGGGAGTCGGGACGGCCGCGGCGGCGGCTCGTGGCCGTACTCGTGAAGCTATGCAGCAGGCTAGGCTCGTATCAAAGAAAAACCGGGTGGGGTTGAAATCCAACAAATAGGCAGTCGTTATGGTCGGCACGCCTTTAAGACCAGGTGCCAATGCGGTAAGGTGCGATCTAAAACAAATGTTAAGAACTGGCCGTCGCGGGCTCGAAGGCTGTCCGTCCTTTTCGGCCACCAGTCGCGTCTGCCACGAGGTTATGTTCGTGCAGCGTAAGGATTGTTTCATAATTTGAAGCCTTGGAGCCAGATAGCGCGCATTTAGAAAATGGCAAAGTATGCTGCTACCCGGCACGAAATGGTGTGCATGAACCGAAAACGTCGTTCATTCCGCATATTTTAATCAGCCGGGAATTTGAAATGCGGATCCACCTTACGCAAGCTGTTTTCGCCCCAAGCGTTGCGGGTGCACTGTTGTGGAAACGCAGGATAATTAGGGACCGTTTTCCGCCCCAGAAGTCAATTCGTGCCATCCCATGGCCAGGTATATGGATGGTAATAGCGAGGTATCGGTCTGGCATCAGTGGTAACGTCGGGAAGCGTTGTCAAACCACGAAAAGTGGTTTGCTGCATTTGGCGGCCACCGCCAACGACATATGTTCAATCAGCGAAATCAGCGGTCTTCGATCATCGAAAACTGTTGTCGTTTTTCGTCTTAGTGGCCGGTCGGCAGGTACTCTTTGAGCCTCTGTGCCAGCACCACATCTGTGCCAGCGCCGGTACCTGCGCCAGCGCCACAGCTGTGCCAGCGCCTTACCGCTGCCGCCAGCCACGGTCGGCGGGCCCGGCCCGGCCCGGCCCGGCTGCGACCTTGGGCGGTGTGTGCGGAGCGCGGCGTGACCTCTCCCTCAGTGTCGGCATATGTGCCGCGTGTCAGTGACTGGCAGAGTCGGCGACGCCGCCGACCTTCGGCCGTCATCCCCCTCAGGCCTCTTCCCTGCCGCGGCCGCCAACTCCGGGCCACAGACGACGATGAAGTTGACACTTTTGACTCTTTGTTGACGGGCGCCTCCTACGTGAAGGAACGCTGTCTCGATGTCTGTTGGGTTGGCATGGTAAGGAGGCTTCAGTTTGGTGTGCGGCGCGCTGTTTGACCGTGTGCTGATCGTTATGCATCGCAAGTCACCGACGTTGGACGGTCTGTCGTCACTTCCGTCTCGAGCAGAGCAGGATACCATTGCCGTGCGGTCCGGAATTGCCCGCGCTACTTTTACCGGCCTCGGTACTCTCCGCGGCGCGGGGATTTTCGCTTGTTTTCCCACGTTTTGTTCCTTACCGTGCTCGTCCGCTCCACACCAGATTGCACGAGCAAAAATTTGCAGATAGTGTGGACGCGCTAGGACTTGAACCCCCAACAACCCCCTGCATACTCTACAACCTCACTTGGGGAACTGCAGCATCAGTTACAGTAAGCATTGCAGGCGGTGTCAAACCAGGTCAAATCATTTCGTTGTCATCTCGATGCAGCTTCAGCTTCGCATGGGGCGCAAAATTCAACTGTAAGATAACAAAACATGCCACCATTCACTGCCTAGGGGTAATGTGAGGTCAGCTGGGCTCGTTTTCTGACCTCGTTTTCTTGAATTTGTTCGTGGATGATCTTGCGCTTGCGTTGTTTGTTTCGGCAATAATTTGGCGGGTCACGAAAGGTTTAGCAGCAGCGGAGGCATATGGGAAGGTTGACCTTTGTCCGACCCGTAGCACCCTGATTCATAATCCAATGCTTTGGAGAGCAAATTCCGCGTAAACTTGAAACCTGATGTAACCTTGACCTCCAAGACCATGGGGAAGGTCGTGAGCTCCAGCGAGGTACATGACTTAACGCATCATGTGTTATCCTTAAGCCATCCACTGGAAAACGACATGCAGTGTTCAGAGCTGAGAATTCGTCGCTAGCCACAAATTCGGTACGGGACATTGCGCGGCTCGAGGTATGCATACGAAGATAGCGAGAACTGAAAAAAAAAATTATTAGCGCGCGACTATTGTGGTTTCTAGAAGCGAACGACGTACTGTCTAACACGCAGCGTGGTTTTTGGAAGATCTGGAGGACCATTGACCACCTGTTGTCTTGATACAGCCATCAGGGAGTCCTTTAAGCGCCGACATGTCATTGCTATCTTTTTGATGTCGACAAGGCAAGTCGACATTACCTGGCATCATGATATGCTGATAAAGCTGCACGCTTGTGGTTGCGATATCACGTGGGTGGGTTTTTGTGGAGCTTTTTACGCAACCGCCACTTTATGTGAGGGTTGGCAACACCCTTCGAGACCGGCTCCGAGCGGCGAGCGGAGTCCCTCAGGGGGGAGTCCTGAGCCTGCCGCTGTTTGTAATTATGGCAAATGATACGGGTGACTTATTGCCTGCCGACGTCGGTCGCTTCGTATCTGTGGATGACTTTGTCCCCTGGGGGTCCACGTCGTTCCTCGCGGTTTTCGCCCTTCCTGCCAGGGTGAGAGGCAGACGACGCCATATAGCCTCAGCAGCTGAGTGCGTCGTAAAGCCCCAACGACATGACACATGACATGGGCGTCCACGTCATCGTCGACCTCGACAGCCCGGCGGATACAAATATGTCTTGACAAACGTACGCAATGGGGTTTTGCAAACGGTTTTATTTGTCACTGACTAAAACCAGGTGCATGCACTTTTGCAAGAGAAAGCAGGAGTGCGTCGACCCTAGTGTGAAACTGTATTGCAGAGCTTTGCCATTCTCGGACGTTGCGAAATTTTAGGTGTTGTTTTTGACAGAGAACTGTCTTACTCCGCCCATTGTAAAATGACCAGAAAGCGTTGTTCAAACGCAGTGAACATCATGAAGGTTATCAGCAGGATGTCTTGCGTGCTGATCGGAAGCCTGCTTCGCTTGTATAGGGCACTCATTCGCTCAAACGCAGAGTGCGAATGTCAGTCCCTCGACTAAGCGCGTGGCTCAGTTAAACGAAAGCCGGACGCACCACACCACGACTGCATGCATATCGACAAGTGCTTTGCGAATCAGCCCCATAGGCAGTCCTCTGGTTGAGTCAAACGAATGGCTCTCCGACGGGATACGCTGAGTTCGCGCTATCCCCTGAGGGCTGCCCGGTCTTGAACACACCCGGCTTATCGGAGCGTCTTCTATGAAACCTCAACCAGCTGTTTGCAACAGGATGAATCAGTACGTGTAGACCCATCTCTGTACGGGTCAGTATAATTCTGCAAGATAATTCTTCTTGCAAATATCTGATATATGTGTATATATGTATATACGTATATTAGGATGTCAGATTTCATTAATTTCGGGTCCAAATTACGCTCAAATCTTTGTAACAGCACTTTACTTCTCCATGTCATAGTAGGCCCAGAGCCTAGGTCCCGAGTTCGCGGCAGCTACAGGTGTCGCGACCCCCGTCGTCATGACAACCGCGGTCTTTATGACGACAGAATCTGCTGAGAGTCGTTGTTAGCTGTTGCGGGTTATAGCAACCACCTTTGAAGCGTTTTAACAACCACATTGCGGACCCTCGAGCTTAAAAGTAGCACCTCTAGTGGTATGAACGCCTTCGGTACAAATGCAGCTCGTGATAGGCACAGCGGTAGCCGCAGGGGCCAGCTACCAAGAATCACATTGGTTGAAGTTTGAACCAGTGCGCCATTATAGACCATGTGATACTTGGTTGCCCAAAACCAATGTGTTTCGAAAAGAGCCACGGCGGAAAGCACCTTAGGGGAGAAATCAAAGCCATAGTATAACGTTTCGTTGAATTCGCGGGATAGCATCCTCATGTTTGTATGCATTTTCTCTAAAGAGAGTTTCGAGATTTCGTAGAACGTATCACAAGCATTTTGACAACTTAGTTTCTTGCAGATATTACAGAACACGCGTTGTGAAAAGGATGACGTCCTTTCCATGCAGAGGAGCACTTTTCAGCGAGCATGTACGGCTACACGATCAACCCGGTAGCATTTCATCGTACCGTAACCGGACTTAAATAAGCCCTGTCAAGGCCGGGAAAAGAGATCTGCTCAGCTGGGCGCAGTGAGGTCGGGCCGAGCCCACGGCCGCTGGGCTCGGCACGATCCTCCTCGGTCGCTGGCGGGGCCACGTCACGGCCTGTCCCAAGCTGCGGCCCGTGACGTCACGCGGCGCGGCAGCGGCCACGGTGGTTACCCTGGTCGGCGGGTGCGGCCAGCGTGGTGACGCGTCCCGGTGCAACAAATGGCCGCCGCGCCTGCAGGGGGGGGGGGGGGGGGAGCCGGGGCCGCGGATGTAACGGGAGGGGGAGGCTCAGGTGAACCCCGGCTAATGGAGCAAGAGCGATGGACGGGTGGGGAAGGAACGGCGCGTGATGTCTGGAACCGGGACATGAAGCAGCAGTGGTGTTCCGGCTGGAAGGCTTTGACTAGTCACTGACATGTGGTATCGCATGAAGCAGGTCATGGGGCTCCAAAGGGCCGATGGACGCCATGTTGTAGTGTTAGCCGTGGGCCAGCTGTGGCGACGTGGAAGCAACGTCATCAACCATTCGCACCTGGGAGGACGGATTGGATGATCAGCAGTTTTCAAGCTATGGTGCACGATCCTGCGGGTGATAACGAAATACAGTCACCATTTCGGTGTACCGCCCGGGCTGAGAAATTCAACCCAAACCAAACGGCCTGCATAACATCAGTAGTGTATACATTTCTGCATTGTTATCATAGCTTGTATAATTCCAGGAAATAAAACGTCATGCGGGCTATTTTAGGACGTCTGCTACCATCGGCCCTCGCCTGTTATATAACGACATCTGTCGGGCCGCGCGCACGGCGCGGTGAAGGTCTCAGGGCTGTATTCACGTGCTCATTTTCCTGTTGACCCAGTGAGACCGGGCTGCCACATGGCCGGCGCTGTGCAATGCCAGCGGAAGTTGCACTGCAACTGACATTGCATTGGAGTGCACCGACTGCGCAGCGATCGCCGCGGTTGCGTCCGCCGGCGCCCTGGTCTCTTGCTTGATATGTGCCACGGCAAGCGGCGCACAAGGTAGCTCACGTGGATTCAAAGTGAACCGAGCCGCTGGAGGGGCCGTTGTTCCCGCTGCCGCTGCTGATCACGCGGTAGCGCTTTGCTACCATGTTCTGTGCCAGCACAAACAGCAGGGAGAGGCCCCGTGCCCATGCTGGGCTGCCAGCTAAACCATGCCACGAACGCCCGATCGTTGCCAGGTACACCAGCGGGGGAAAGTCCCGCGTCGTCGTGACTGGCACGTTTTCTGGCGCCCACGGCGTTTCGAATGCTGGTGGCTGACGCTGCTGAATTTTACTGCGATGCGGTCCACGTGGTCTATCCGCATGCACTTAGGATCTGTCCACCCTGCACTGCCTACGTGCACTGCCGGCATGTACTTTTTCCCTGACCTGCTTTCGTGCTGTCTACTCGTGCAGAGTGCATGTCTCATTCTGTCCACCACTCACATACTGTGCGGCGTCCACCTGGACTCTGGACGGGCACACTCCACCCGCACACCCGATCCGCAGCTGTGGAGCAGTTCTTTTGACCCACGCTGTCGGTGTCGGGGAGATCCTAGGATAACGTCACTTAATCGTGCCGTTGGGCTGTGAAACTGCACTGCCGTAGGTGAATTTGCTCCGGTCGTGCATGCGCTGTGGCTTGTGAGGAAATGACCTCCGGTGTGGTGCGCCCATGTGCTAACAATGGCACGGCCGCGCCCGCAACGCCGGCTGACTCACCTTGAGATGACACGACAGATTTTTGTCGGCCAGCTGTAACGTCATAGGAATCTTTGCGGCCGGAAGAAATATGTTTGTCGGGATTGCAGCTGGTACACGTGCCATTTGTCGGCGGGCTATCGCCGCCTTGCGAGACCGCCGATTCCAAGCTTACCAAGCGCTGATGTCCGGCACGTGAGCTTTGTCTGCCCCGGATGATAGGCTGGTCAGAGTGGCTTGCCGGTCGGATTCACCCACCCGTGGCGGGCTGGGTTCGAGTCGCCTCAGGCCGCTCAATGTTTCGCCTCTGGGGTCGACGGCGGCGACCCGCTGCGGAACGTCAGGTGGCGTCATCACGTGTAGGGCCGGATCCCGTGCCGGGCATATGATACGGACGTCATGGACGGACGGCCCGTGCCGGGGCATTATGGTAAGACGTCAGGGGTGGGACGGACCGTGCCGGGCATCATGGTACGAACGTCCAGGGGTGGGACGGACCTGCCGGGGCATTATGGTACGACGTCAGGGGTGGGACCGGGACCGTGCGGGGCATTATGATACGACGTCATGGGTGGGGACGGACCGTGCCGGGCATTATGATACCGACTCAGGGGTGGGACGGACCGTGCGGGCATTATGGGTACAAACGTCAGGGTGGGGACGGACCCGTGCCGGGAATTATGGTACGCTAAGCTTGGTCGCCGCAATACCCCGTCGCCGACTGGGAATTACGATCGGATGGTGTGGGCCATGGCTCACAGCGGCGAGAGCCCTGCTTAACGTGTGCGCTGATCCAAAAATCCATCAAATTAGAATGTTTGGACCGAACTTTTGTAAAGAGCCCGACGCTGAGCCCGCCGGATGATAGGTCGTGGTCAGGGTCCGGGTCTCAGATCGGCGCGCGCAGACCTGCAACGGTGAGGCGTGCAGCAGGCTGAATTATCTGCAGGAGCGCGGGAGCGAGACCGATGTGAAAGCCGGCATGTGCGTAACAGAGGCCGTTTAGAAGTGGTGATGAACGTCATCCAACGAACGTTATCCAACCTAGCCAACAGCACCTAAAGTGGTTGAGGCAATGCTGACGTGTGCAAAATCTGATGAGGTAGCAAACATAGCTCATTTGTTTTGAGGACGTGACGTTTCCCAGACTTGGCGGCACTTGGGACCTCATCGTATACTCCAGTGACTTGTGAGACATTGGCTGCTGTTCATTTTTCACGCTCTCTTCTCTTTCCTCCGCATGGTTTAAGTTGGCAGGGTGGGGATCGGAGTCTGAACTAAGTCGATCTAAGCTGCTTTGACTTCAACCAGTGCTCCAGCGCCATTCACAAGTTTTGAGGAGCGATAGCTGTGGCCGTGGAGCTATACAGCTAACAATGTTTACCTCGAATACATGTAAGCTGCCTGCAATGCAATGCTGGATGCAAGGTAAAGTCATCGTCCATAAGTGCCTAGTTCACGGCGTGCCGTTCAATATCGATATTCCCTTCATCACTGGGCAAAGGACGGACGACTGCGACCGGACGCGAACCCGCATGGTGTAGCGTCTCGAGCGCACGACGTCCGCCGCCCGAGACGAGACGAGACCGGGACCGCCAGACCGCGGGACCAGCATTCGTCTAACACCCGCGCCGTTCTGTCCGTTGCAGTGGTGAAGCAGCGGATGCAGATGTACAACTCGCCGTTCCGCTCGTGCCTGGACTGCGCGCGCTCGGTGTACCGGCAGGACGGGCTGCGCGCCTTCTACCGCGCCTACGGCACCCAGCTCACCATGAACGTGCCATTCCAGTCGATCCACTTCGTCATATATGAGTGGGCGCAGCGCGTGACCAACCCGCAGCGTCAGTACTGGCCGACGGCGCACATGCTGAGCGCGCGCTGGCCGGCGCCGGCGCCGCCGCCGTCACTACGCCGCTCGACGTCTGCAAGACGCTGCTGAACACGCAGGAGGCGCGGGTGGTGTGCCGACGCCGGCGCCGGCCGGCCCATCTCGGGGCTGCCGGCCGCCGCGCGCGTCGTGTACCGGCTCGGCGGCGTGGGCGCTTCTTCCGCGGCCTGCAGGCGCGCGTAGTATACCAGATTCCCGTCGACGGCCATCTGCTGGACCGTGTACGAGTCGATGAAGTACGCGCTGAGCCGGGCGGGCGTGGCCGAGCGCGCCGCGGCGGCCGAGAGCGCCGCCTCCGCCGTGTACCCGACAGTGCCGTTCAACAGGGCGCACGCCCAGGCGTCCGACTTCTCAACCGCGCTCCTTGTGAGCGCGCGCGCCCCGCGAGATTGACCGATGACGGCTCGGCTGGGACGCGCCGGCCGCGCGAGACCCGGGCTGTTGTCGGAGGCTGCACGGCCGCGCCGGGCGCGCTGCTCGCTGGTGATGGTGGATCCGTGCGTCTGGACTTTAAACACACGCACACCTCTATTTTGGTGCTCTGGTGCTTTCGGAGTGCGGCTGCAGCCCTGACCGGCGCGAGCGGTATTCTGGCCGCTGCTGTTTCCCCGGGAGCGTAGCTGCCCGTCGGAGGTGACGACCGGCGCCGGCCGCGCGCCGGCGCCGTCGCCGTCGCCGGCCGTCAGTCAGTCCGTCAGTATTGACTGGCCACAACGCGGCAATATTTTAGACCGGTGATCGCTGATGTACCTGATGCTAGTCTCGTCGCGCAACATCGAGACTGGGCGGCGCCTGCCGCCGCCGCCCGACTAGCTGGGAACTGTTAACCGTCGCTCGCCGCAGCCTCGACCCCCCGTCCCGTCCCTCTCTCCCGACCTCCTTCTGCGCCGATCCGGCGTCCGACGCGCGTGTCTGCAGGCGCTGATGGCCCCTGACGCCCCGCCCCGAGGGGCCACAAGCGGCCCCGGTTCGCGATTCGGCGCCGTGAGGGCGGCCCTTCTCACCTCTGTTACCTCCTGTACGGTGTGCGTTCAGGTTTGCTTGTTTGCTTTGCAACGGCCTCGCCCGCTTTCAGTCGCGTCGCCACGGTTCTGTCCGTCTCGGTTTTCGGAGCAGGTGCGATGACCGCGGGCGTCCGCGTCCGTGGCCGGGCCCGGGCCTCTCGAGCGGTGTGGCGCGGCGGCACGGTGGCCGCCGACCGCTGGGCAGTGTCGCCGCCCCTCCGCCGGGCGCCGGCGGGCACGGTCCTCCTCGCGACCACGTCCGCGCACGCAGCGCATGCCTGTTCCACGCGCACGGATGCGACTCTGGAGGATTGGAGTGCAGCTGGTGTCGCCGCTTCATTTGACCACGGTGCGTGATCGGCGCGCAGCGAGAGAAAAGGTTTTTGGGCCCCCTATCGACGACGCCGCCAGTTTGGTGCTGGCGGCCCTTCTGGTTCAGCATCACCGTCCGGTGCTCGCCCGATGCATAACCGCAGGGTTGATCAAATTGGGTTCCGGGTTTAGTGGGGCGAGTTCGCAGCGCGGTGATGCTGAACCTCTCATTTATTTACCTAGTTAAACCCTATCCGTAAGGCAACAATGGGCAGGGAGAGAGATTCAGGTCCAGAGGCGGCTTAACCTTTCCCAGCACCGTTGTTATAGCTGTATGCGTTTTGTTACTTGCTGATAGTCAATACATGAACAAGGAAACATTGGCTGTGTTGTGTGAGGGAAAGAGTTGCATGAAACGCGACCCGGCGTGGAACAGATACATGTTCGTTGCCATGGTTACTTAGGCCATGGCGTGCTTAAAATGACCCGATCTACGATTTCGGGCGAAGTCGCCATTGTGAGCCTCTTGTGCGTTCCTGGGCCTGAAAGCCTGTTCGAATAGGACATCCGTTCATCAGCTACGTTCCATACCTGCATGGAATGCATGGAATGCACGGAAAAAGCAAGAAGGCGCAGACGGCGGTCAGAACGCTTGCAGACGGCCGGAACCTCAGTGGAGTCATCCCAGCACACCTTGTCGGTGGTGCGGCCGACTGGCTGGCAGGCCTGGACTGAGTGGATCGGCGTCAGAAACTGACTGGTCTCAGTGTGCTCTGGACCGGGTAAGAACGCGTCTAGCGTTGGCTGGCTGGAACGCCGATGAAGGCAAGTCCTGGTAAAGGCGGCTGGGCTTTTGATTGTCGCTGTGACCAGCTATGGGTAAGTCCAGCCATAGCTACGCCCTGCAGGTTACAGCGGTTGGGCTTCGCCATTGAGGCTTTCCGACGCACTCAGCTGCTGAGGCTCTAACGCGTGCCGCTGGTACGCAACGTAGTTGAAAAGGACATTCGCACACGACACTCCGTTCGCCCCACTTCTCGGCGATATGACTTGGTTAAAGGGAATATTTCACATTTGAAGGTATTAAAGCAAGCATCAGATATGATGGAACAAGCTCACTGATAAATGTCGGTATACCTTTCAGTAGAAGACTATTCTAGACAACACAATTTCACTGTTGAGTAAGTATGCTCCCGGACACGTCATTGTTTGATTTCGTCATCGTACCTTGCACGACACCGAAATTGGCGGCCGTTTTATCGGGAAATCTTGCTGACGAACGCCAGTTATGATTCGAGCATTATATTTTTCTCGGCATTGGTCACCACTGCGGCGTATTAAATGGCACGAATTGAATGACGTTATTATGACGCCATGAATGTCAGGGTGACCTTTGAATGCTTTCCAAAATTACTTTCCCACATCTCCTGCGGCTTTTAAGCGCAAGAACCAGAGGGCTTTAGGTCTTTAAAATGCATAGCTGTGAACTGCAACAAGGTTCTACAAGATGGCTTTATCAGTTCAGAACCAAGTACAAATGTGGAACGCTTTCTTTGAACGGAAATGATTTGCCAGAGGAGCCGTGAGGTGAACAGTCCGAGCATGGCCCATGCAGTTGAGGACTAACTTGTCTGCCATTGAAACAATGCGGGTGTAATTTTGTACGTGAGTGCGAATACCTCGCAAGGGCAGATGTCAGCAATCCCAAAGCCGACAGTCGCCTGGGTATTGGAGGCCGGAGATGATCCAAACGGCTCTCGCCTCGGATTCAACAATAATAGAACCACTCTTTCTTTTTTCTGACCACCAGGCGTCAGCTGAACGTTGTTTTATCTAACTTACCGGCAGGACAAGTAAATGATTCTTAATAAGGATTTGCTACAGTAACGCTACGGATTTTCGAACCGAGTTCGCTTGCTGCTTGCGAACAGCAGGACCCAAAATCAGTACTCGAATCCGATAGGGAATCTCCGACTTAGAGAGACTTCAGCTGTCTCACGTCCGTTCGTGACAAATGTAGGCCCACGTGCTGTGTACATGAAGTCGGTTGATATTTTCAATCTCTAGTGGCATCTTTCAACCAACGTTGCTGAAAATCATTTCGCAGTTGGAAACCCGTCCTGATTTTTATATTCAAAATGGCGTGCGGACAGAACGACGGCATCACGCCTACGTGACATGACTGGGTGGCTGATTTGCTGAAATTCCTGCCAGCGGCCGCTTGACCATGCGCATAATCCAGTGTTTGTTCAGTGATGGGAATAACCCAGTGACAGCTCATGCTGACTTTCAATACACTGATCAACGAAGTAACGTACTAGTTAAGCTGATACTGATCCACATGTTCTGTATATCCTTGGACATCAGAATTGTATACTGAGGCTGAAAATGTCTTCGTGCCATCCAGAAACATTCATGCTGGTGAGTTGTTCGGCTTTGAAGTTCGCTGCAAAACTTACTTTATCTAGCTGATTATCTTCCACTCAATGCCCGTTTTGGTCGATTACCATCAAAGCAGGCATCGGTGATAAAAAACAAGCAACACATTTTCCTCCACTGACTTAGGTTCCGGACTCGCCTTTGACCCACTTTTCACAGATTACTTCGGGTTTAGACCCTCTTTAAAGCTGAATTCAGCTTAGGCTTCACCCTTGGAGCATTTGTCACAGTCAGCTTCGGCGTCGTCTTCATCTTCGAACAATTTCTGGACCATGGCCCTGGATTCGGCTTCATTTCACCTCACAAAACAGTGTCGTTCGTCCGATTATCCCAATGTACCGCACGCCTGTCGAGCCTGGGACACATACATGGCTGAAAGCCAAAGCACGGCCGGTCATTCTATTCGGTCAAAGGCCAAATAAAAGAGGACGACGGGCGGAAAGCAAACTGTTCAAAACCTTGTGTATATACAACATATAAGACGGGGACGACAGTCCGTATCCGTAACACTATCACCTCGTCTCGATCGTATCTCGTCACCTCGTCTCAATCAATACGTCTCAGTCCACCCCCAAAGCCCTGATAATGTTCGCTGATCACATGCGGTTTTAGCAGACATCCGAACGGTTTTTGATTTAGCTGTGTGGCACACTGATTTCGGCTTTGGCTTCGGCACCGTGGTTTTACACTCTCAGGCTCATCTTTGATATCGTGCTTTCGAAGTTCTGACCGTTGACTTCGGCTCCAGCCTCGCGTGTACAAGTTTGAAGTCGCTGGCTCCGGCTTTGACTCCGCAGTTCCAAAATTCAAAACTACTAGCTTCGGCTTTGGCTTCACAGTTCCAAAATTAAAATCCACTGGCTTTGCCTAAAGACTTCGGCTCCATGTCATTGTCATGGCGTCGCATTCGGCTTAGAAGCCGGAATTCGGGCATTGCCCCCCCATATAAATATATATATATATATATATATATATATATAAAATCATCAAAATAGCACAGTCGGCTAAGTGCCCCCGGAGAAATGATGGACCATATTGTAATATGCCATATCATATCCATATCATATCATATCGACCATATCAAAATATGTACAAGTCTGGCTTGTAAGTTGTGAAGTGCATTCGCGAGAAAACACTATTCACAAAGGTAAGGCGGCAGCATAGCCTTATTCCTCGAAGAAAAAAAAACAAGAGAGTGGAGATATAGTTATATATCTTTATTCTCCTGGTTTTTCTCCCGGGAATAAGGCTATTACTACTGTCTTATCTAAGTCCGGTTCGTCGCAAAACATAGACGATCTTAGCATAGTCATGAAGTTTAAGATCAAGTCCACGACTTTCTATAGTACAGTCACGTCATGTCTAACCAATGTGTATTTGGCAGAAAAATACAAGATGAGATGTCACACACTGCAATGTACCAGTGGATGTGAACAAACATTTTACTATATTGGCTAACATGAATCAGGGAAAGCGAACGATTCGACGGGGAACAGCAACTTTAAGAATGAACGCATATACCAGCCAAAACAACTGCATTCAAGCTACGTGGCCTCTCGCTTTGATCGGTGCCGGCAATGCGATAAGCATCGTATAAAAGAATCCCTGGAATCACGACACTTAACCATTCGAGTGGCCGCTTCTTGGCTTGCCCGCGCTAAATCTCACAGTAGAATACAAACCGATCATCCTCCTCACATCGCGAAGCCAACTGGGGCTCGGCGAAAGCCCCGCCAAAGCAGTTAACAAGTTCCAACATGGAGCGGGGTCCGGTGTGGAGCGACCCAAACCCGGCGACTCCGTCCTCTCGGGCGCCGCGCCAGCTCGCTCGCTGCGCCGACCGCCAGGCGCTCGCCGAGGGCCGGCCCGCGGCGGTCGCGGCGCATCTCCGAGACGTGCTCCCGGCAGCGGCGGAAGCCGCCCCTCCGGACCAGCCGTCCGTCAGCCCGGCGCCGCCCGGCGGCTAGAACTGAAACAAGACGCGCGTCTCACACGCAGCACGGACGGGCGCGCGCCGGCCGCGCGCCTCTGCTCTGGCGACCGAACAGGCACGCATCGCTTGCACAGCTGCCACGACCAACCCGGCGAGCAGAGGTCAGCAGCGCTAGCTAAAGATGCGTCCTCGTGAGCTGACTCCGATCAGGCGATCCATACGTCACGCCGCTCAGCTTCGACGAGAGATATCGAAGACCGCAAGAACCTGCTCTCTCGTGAGGCCTCATGATCTCTCCCCGCCATCACGAAGGACGTAGAATATACGTTTTACATTGTACATTTTTTCCACGACGGCCGTCGTGGCAATAAGATGTCACCTTGAACCACAAAGCATGGGTTGGTGTCACAGCCGTGCGTGAGGTGAAAACAATCCGATCTGGCACCAGACCCCTCTGCCCAAGGACCGGGGCCAAAACCCCGTCCAACTGGACCGGCACCACCTGGCAGGTGCACTCAGAGTACGAACAACTGGCCCCGCTCGGTTTGTAGCCGGCAGCCGGCTCCAGATGTAACCCTCGCAAACCTTTTGAACTTAACTCACAAATGGGATAAATGAAAAGGCATCCCTCATTTTGCAGGTGGGCAAGTTCTCAGCAGTTCAACAGATACAAAAGAACTGGCAATTCAAGAACAATGATTTCAACGCATACTAAACAATTATTGGCAAGGCACGTCCAATTTCTGTAACGTATTCGCACACAAGCGTTGTCGAGGGTGCAATCAAAATATTTCAGCAGTCAACCGATATGATTTAGAAATCAACAATGTAATATACCCGTATATAAAACGGTAGTATTTGCCTTATTCCTCGGAGAAAGCCGGGAGAATGGAGATATCGTTGGGTTGATATTTCGGCAACGTGCCTCTATCGAAACAATGACATAAGCCTGCTGTTCTATTTTTCTGTTGTTTCGATAAAGGCATGTTGCCGAAAAATCAACCCAACCATATCTCCATTCTCCTGGTTTTCTCCAAGGAATAAGGCTAGCACTATTGTCTTATCTATGTGAATAATGCTCCTCGGTAATGTACTGAACAACTTATGTAATACACCCGATTCAACCCACGTAATATACCGTGATTCAACACATTTCTCACAAACTAGCGTAAGCAGACCAGCCAGCAGACAAATGATAGGTGACATTGCATACCAAAGAGTGTGTCGAAAACCGTTCACCCATTCACTCAGTGTGCGCGAGGTCCTGCGCCTCTACGCGCTCACCGCACCGAGGTTTAAAGGCAGCTATCCCTCGAAAAGCGGCCAAAAGAGTTGAGATATTTGTTCGCATTACAATTTTCGGTGCTGGCGTGAGCGAAGTATGTATCTCACAAGAAGAAGAAACCGACCTTATGCTCGAGAATCCAGCAACCGAACTAAAAAAATAAATGAACTGCTTCAAGCCACCGACATTCTTAATTTTGAATCATAACGTAATCGGCACAAAAAGACGGAACAATGAAGCTCAACTGACCCGTTTGAGAAACTCCTCGGCGCATATCCTGGCGCGCGCGTTTACCGCCAGCTTCATCTCGCTGATCTCCTTGTCGATCTCCTCCATGAACGTGATGACGAAGTCCACCAGCTTATGTTTGTACATCGCCTCCGTATGATGGTTCGTGATCAGGAAGCTGATGTCATAGCCCTGAAATCAGAGGCGTTAGCCTGCTCAGTACGTCCAGTCGACCTTCAAGACAACGTAAAGTTACACACGGCACACGGCCGAAATACAGCCAGCGTGGCGTGCAGACACATTTCGAACGCCCGCACCAGTTCACCACCACTCCGGACCGAGAACTCGTTTCGGCGGAAGAGCGGCGCCCCGCCGTGTCGACGGCCGGGATCCACCCCTGACCGCACGTCGGTGGAAAACCCGGCTCACAGCACGGGACGCTGCACCGCCGCCAGCTTCGGTGTCCTTGCCACCCTTTCCCAGCCTTGGGGCGGGTAGATAGGAGGAGTGAGCGCTCTATCTTAGGTGACCAAGTAACCTCGGTAATCTCGAGAGGGAAGGGAATGGGAATGCATGCCATTTTCGACAGGGAATGCATGCCATTTTCAAACATGTGCGAAATTTTTAACTAAACCTGAGGTCTGGGATAGCTAAACACTTTTCCTTCGCCAGATATCCAAGGTACCAAAAAGGCCCTTTGGCCAAATAAAAAAGCGTCTAAGATCTCACAAGATCATTCCACAACATCTGAAAAATCTGGAATCCCAGCGGATACTTCGCAGAGCTTATTATTATCCTTACATAACGTTAAAAAGAGATCCAGGATCCCAGAAGAGCCCTCGATAAAATTTCAAAAACAAATCCAGGATCTCAGAAGAGCCCTCGGTAAAATTTCAGAAACAAATCCAGGATTCCGGAAGATCCAGGATACAGATGAGAAATCCGATCCCGGGATATTTGCTGCGACCTTGGCGCACGGCCGTCCATCACGGTAAGAGATCCTGACGTCGCTTTCTGCACACTTTTATATGATTAGTTACAGCAATATGATGGGCTAACTTGACGGTCACTCCAGTACTTGACCTGAGATCACTGTAACCTTAAACAGTTCACCCGTGGGTCACCAGTAAGAAGGTCGGCAGGGCGTGAGGTCAGATCGAGCCAGCCGACGCTCTGAAGAGGAACGGGCCGTATCTCGGCAGGCGAAGAGGGCCATATCTCGGAACGCGGAGGGGACGTACCTCGGCGGGCGGAGGGGGCCGTACCTCGGCGGGGGGGGGGGGGCGGAGGGGCCGTACCTCGGCGGGCGGAGGGGGCCGTAGGTGGGGGGGGCCGAGAGGTCGGGGGTCGTCTTGGTGGAGGAGGGGTGTCCAGGCGGCGGAGGGGGCCGTACCTCGGCGGCGGGGGGCCGTACTCGGCGGCGGGGGGGCCGTACCTCGGCGGGCGGAGGGGCCGTACCTCGGCGGGCGGAGGGGGCCGTATCTCGGCGGGCGGAGGGGCCGTATCTCGGCGGCGGAGGGGCCGTACTCGGGCGGCGGAGGGGGACGTACCTCGGCGGGCGGAGGGGACGTACCTCGGCGGGCGGAGAAGGACGTACCTCGGCGGGCGGAGGGGGACGTATCTCGGCGAGCGGAGGGGGCCGTATCTCGGCGGCGGTGGGGGCATATATCGGCGGGCGGAGGGCGCAAGACGGCTGTGGGCTCCAAGGGAGCAACAGCCCTCCCCCCAATAAGTGTCAATCCTGGTCACAGGCATCAAATGATGGCCGCACATACTCATTACACCCTTCAGAACCACTAGAAAGTTACAGACAATGCAGCCTGTGCACACAGTGTGCGGCGGATGACGCCAATTTTCGACATTTTCGCAGCCAAAAACACCTGATAACGAAATCAAGGTTCATAGTGGCATTGCCTGCCAGAAAACTGAAACTTTCAGCCTGGTTACGGGCCAAGATGCCCCAATTGTACAGTTGTCCTTCACACAGTTCAGGAGATATCTCCGAAAAACGACACGGGTTGCATCGAACCCATTGGGTTAGCGAGGGATAACATTCCAGGCATCAAACGAATACTTATTTCGTAGCTGCATCCTTACAAAGTTGGAGTATGGCTCATTGTTCCTATGCTATCTTCTTATTTACAGCTGTTAGCCTTTGCACTCGAATGCCTTTAAAACCGTTGGCGGTAGAATGAACCACATGGTACCACTACCATGTTACTGGCGGTGGGGCGCCACATTCAGGTCATAGCATTACAAATAAGCCGAAGGCTGCACAGCAAAAGTGGCAAATGCGCCAACAATGCATCACGGAACCCAGCTTTGCTACATTTTGCTGTGCAAAGCTTTGAGTACGATGTCACGGCGCCGTTACCTAACCAGTCACAAAGCCAAATCTTTCAAACCGGCTGTGAAACGATCAACACTCAGACAGTGCCAGAGTTGTCACGATCTGCCGGACCTTTAGGGAGGCACTTCCGATCATATGGAATGGCCAAGATGCAGCCCTACGCTGAACTACAAGCCCTACAGCCTTACAGGCTGACGCTCTCCCAGGAAGCTCGGTTGCCGCCCATCCCCGCCCAGCCCCCCAGCTGACCGCACCCACACCGGGCGCCGCCACCCATCCCCGCCCAGCCCCCCAACTGACCGCACCTACACCGGGCGCCGCCACCGCTCCCCGCCCAGCCCCCCCCCCCCCCTCAGCTGACTGCAGCTACACCGGGCGCCGCCACCCATCCCCGCCAGGCTCAGCAAGCCCCAGGATCCTCCCAGGCCCCAGCCTGTCCCAGGAGTCCCCAGCCCCAGCCGGCCCCAGGAACCCCCAGTCCCCCCCCCCCCCCCCAGCTGACCTGCACCGGCTTCCGCCGCAGAATGACGAAGTTCTCGGCGCGCATCATCATGAAGCGCATGAACTTGTGGCAGAGGATTTTCTCGATTTCGTCCGCCTGCTTGATGGCGATGCTGACGCGGATCGAGTTGATGGACGCCTCGATCAGCACGCGCTCCTTCTCGTTGCGGCTGATGATGACGGGCGTGAGCAGCAGCTCCTTGCTAGTCCTGCCGGCCGGCCGGACGCGCCGCCTTAGCGTGCGCCTCTTCAAGCCAGCGCGAGCCGTGCCCACAACAGCAGCACGGCGCCGCGTGCTCCTGTGCTCGTGCGGGTGATGCAACAGCATGGGTTTTGTGTGAGCGCTCCGTGCTGATGCTCGTGATGGTGTGAGTTCGAGTCGGTTTAAGCACTCATCGCCACTGCAGACACGGTCTGCTGCCAACTGGGAGGGCCTTCGCCGGCGGCAGCCGCTGCGCTAAAGATCAGGTGACGTCGGAGGGCAGGAGGACCGTGCCGAACACCGCGGCACGTTCACCTTTCGCCACTAAAATCTGCCGTTGAGCTGGAATATCATGATCGGGTGGTGAAGTCATGGCCACACACACACAAAAAAAACGCTGCTCAGCGCGGGTTCTCATGCCCAAAACCCATCCAATCAAAAGATTAAGTCTCGGTCATGAAAACATGACGTCCATTGCTCCCACGTGTGCTGACGGGCTAGACACAGCGTCACGGCCAATTGACGTGTCCCTTTTGGTGATTCAAGACACGCCCAGATCTGCGAGTGTATGGTCACAAGAGCGGGCCCGCTGGTGGCCCTTGCCGTGAGTGTGGCCGTCAGCAGGCCTAGTCTCGCGACGACGCACCCCAAACTCGGCAGCTTCGGCACCCCGACCCAAACAGGCACAGCGCGTGACCCAGCCTGCCACACCTCTGACGGCCGTCAAATCTGCGCAGCAAATGACCGCACCCACGGGCGGCCAACCAGGGGTGGGGGGCTGACCCTTATCCTGGTCAACACTTAATATTAACCCTATGACAGTGCATAGAAACAAACAACGTACATATCACGATTTCCCCATCTCAACGAAGGCTTCAACGCCATTAACAGCAAGGGCATGCCATTATTCAGAACATAGCGCGACATACGTTACGCTGGACTTATTTCCAGGCATGTGCACGCAGCTGTTTGATCGGGTTTTTAGTATCAATAAGAAAGGTATTCCGATCATAACCAAGCTGAACTCATTGCATCAACAAATAAAGCGAATAGCATAAACATGTCCTTTGTGCGGTAGTCGTCTGTCTATTAGTGCGTCATCTTCGTAAATATACGTTTACTCCGTATTGTTCCATATAACAGCTAAGTCATACACTCCGAAATGTAATCGAAATCCCCCAGCTCAACAGTATGCAGCCCGGCCAGTACCTCAAGGCGGCGTCGTGGTGTCTGGCATTAAGCGCGAATTTGTTCATGAACGGGTAGATCGCTTCTATGGACTGAATTTTAAGCAGGCTTCCATTTAAGGCTATGGCCCGGTACAGCGCAATATATAAAAGCCAGGGCATGGTGCTGGATTTCATTTCTTATGGCCGCTTTTCCGAATATTTGGGCAGGAGGACCGAGGCATAGTTCCCAAATATTTATGAGATCCGAGGTAGCTGTAGAGTCCACGCCGTTCAAAAACTCGTAACCTTCTGCCCCGAGATACTTTCTACACGCTTTGCAGCAGTTGTTGGCCCAGGCAGTACATCCATACATTAAAATAAAGATGCAAAGACCGGGCCCTGTGCCAATGAATGGCACAAACACAAGCCAAAAAAAAAACAGCATTCATTTAAACCAGCAATATCGATTTCCCAGTTTGCTTCACCAGCCACCTAAAAGATGGTTGTGGGAACATCGCAATGGTGGAGACCAAACTCTCCTGATCGGTGCACGACGCCCTCCTAGCCAAACAGGCCCGCACGCAGATGCTTAAATATTTATACAACACACGAGGTTTATAAATCTGCGCCTCTTGCCGAAAATTCCATAAACCTAGCACCAGAGGGTGAAAAACATCGGCCCCTAAAAAAGTGTGACGAATTGGGCAGATTACTCATACTTCAATTTGACGAGTTCACGCAAGCCTCCCGTCGGCTCGCCACTCAGAAAAATGCTCGCCATTAGCGAACTAATGCGTACACGCCACACCAGCAAACCTACACATCAACTTGTAAACCCAGTAACGTGACAGGCCAATGGCAAGACTCATCTACGAGGGTTTCAAACGTGCCTGGCTGCATAAGCTTAGGTGTTAGCACCCTGGTACTGAGAACTCATTCCTGTCCGGACAGGAATGCGTGACCGTGACCGGACAGGACCGATGCGTGACCGTGACCGGACAGGAATGTGTGACCGTGAGCGGACAGGACCGATGCGTGACCTGATCGGACAGGACCGATTCGTAACCGTGACCGGACAGGAATGCGTGACCGTGAGCGGACACGACCGATGCGTGACCGTGACCGGACAGGACCGATTCGTAACCGTGACCGGACAGGACCGATTCGTAACCGTGACCGGACAGGACCGATGTGTGACCGTGACCAGACACGACCGATGCGTGACCTGACCGGACAGGACCGATTCGTAACCGTGACCGGACAGGACCGATTCGTAACCGTGACCGGACAGGACCGATGCGTGACCGTGACTGGACAGGACCAATGCGTGACCGTGACCGGACAGGACCGATGCGAGATAACTGCAGCGACCGCAATCCCTGCACGCCAAGAACGGCACACTAAACATGTCTTATTGAGGACAGCTTCCCGCTGATCAAGCGCGTGCACAGCCAGCAGAGAATGATGCCATTCGCGACGAAGGGGCAGTGCGTAACGTTTCAGCACATGGGTTTGCAACCTGGACGAGGATCATGGCCAGCGTTCGTCAACAGCGTGTACACGGTTGTGCCGCATACATCACAGCCGCCCCACATACCGCATCGGCTACGAACCTGACTTCCACCTCCGGCTTGTTGTGCCGCTCCACCACCTGTGAGGAGAAGTCCTCCAGACACATGGCCGCCGTCAGAGTGTGACGCACAGCCGTCAGATAGGGCTTCAGGGTGGCCGCCTGAAACGAAGACACCGACTGGATGCGTGACTGGCGACGGTGGCTCTAGACAGAATGCACGATGGTCATGTAATACAAAAGCGCTTGTGTGAATTCTTTTGAAATTGAAAATGAAAGTTCTAGTTGAAATCTAAAACCAATCTTAAAATTGAATTGAAAGGTCTGACTGATACATTTCCTTTCCTTTTTTCATAGATCACGTGGTGACGTGAGACATGTTGCAAGTAAAAATCGATTGGCTCATATTACCGCACCATTCGTCGAATATAGAGCGGATAGATGTCGCCACCCGAACTTACCATTTTATGGTGGGTTTTCCTGATATTGCTTATTCAAGTCACTTGGAAAACCTTAGTGAATGGTCAAAGATTGATACCAAGTCTATATTGTGCAAAACCGGTGAAGCAATTTGGTCAACCCGTCTGAAAAAGAGCAGGATTGACATCAGAAGACATTGCTTCAGCTCATAATCAGTAAGTGTTTGGCCTAGGGCCTCGTGCATGGTGCTCCAAAGTTCGAGCTCCGCCTCCGGCCAAAAAGTTTCATCGGCCACGCGGCAATCACCAGGGACAAAAGAAGGGGCCAAATAATAATAATAATAAAACCGTGAACGCATCGTTAAAGCCATAGGATATTAAAGGTGAGGCTGCACAGCACGTAAGCACATACGCTGGAGACATGTGGTGTCTGCGCAGCGCTACTTGGGGTTCTTCTCCATAGGTGGGAGTCCGGATCGGTTTCAGTACTGGAGAATTCCGGAAGGAAAGCTTAACTGCATCATCATTATGAAATCGACACCAAGTCACGGGCGCAGATGATGGAGCAGGTCGGCACAGGAAGGCCAATTTTTTGCCAAGGTATAAATAAAAAAGGATTGAAGCCAGTGAGACTGATTCGCCTTCGTACGCGCATAGACAACCATGGCGCGTTTTCTTGCATCCCGTCCAGTAATTCGTATAGCAAGCCGACCTGTCCCAACACCGCCAAATTCCTGTTCAGTGCTGCTTTCAACATGGGCCCGAGGGAGCATAGTACAGGAATAGTGTACCTGCGCTGCCGTTTAGCTCGCTTCCTCCACGACTCGCATCCGGTGTTAACGAACCAAACGTGCCTACTTCCTCATCAGAGACGGATGGAACCCAGACCTCGTACGGATGGAACCCAGACCTCGTACGGATGGAAACCAGACCTCGTCGGATCACGTGGATAACCTTAAGGGAGCGTGCATGTTCTCCCAGCATTGCACGCTGCACGTTTACAAAACGTTCCTCACTCACCCCCACCTTTGATTCCCGCGATCTTATTGATGTACGACGTTCGGCAAAACATTTTTCGTCGCAGCTTGTTACCAAAGGCAGCCCTACAGACAACAACCTTCAGCTCGGCAAATTTGTTTTGGCACATCACAGTGGGCAAGCCATTCAATCCACGCCGCTGCACGAAAGGGCGTGACGTCAGCCGCGAACAAATTGCACAGGCATCTTAAAAATACCTCACACAGTTCCCGAGTCATACAGGACCAGACGAAGCCAAATCAAGTGTATGTCAGCTGTGCGGACCGTTTCCGGCGCGCAGACATACTTGGAAGCTATGCCGGAGCTGGGGACGAGCCTATGCAGCCCTCACGCTATCTCAGTTGACGGCGGGGGTGGTGGAGGGTCATACAAAGGTATTTCATTATTGACAGTGGTTGAAATACAGCACTGCTCCATACCATTCCTACTGCATTGGTGAATGGTGCACAGCGTCGTAGAAGATTCCTATGGCTACCAATAGGCTAATACATCAGATAATGTACAGATGTCCTGTGCTGATGACAACCCTGGTAATGCTCACCTTTTCAGTCAACCAGCCAGTGATGTGCAGTATGTATTTTCTACTATGTATTTTCTACAGGCCAATACATACATACATACATACAATATATATATATATATATATATATATATATATATATATATATATATATATATATATATATACATATATATGTATATATATTGACAGGGCTATATTGGGGTAACAATGCACACACACACACACACACACACACATAACTTTAAGAGGGAAGCAAGCTACAACAGAGTAGAAATTCATTTTCCAGTCAATTTTGGGGTAAATTTTAACCATTTTCCCCACTCAGCCTCCCCAGCTTCATTTATTCAACTACACCCTCAAGTGTGAACTATAAACCAGGTTCTATCCATTGAGAAGAAGCATTGAGAATTGAGAACCCATAATTTTTTGTACAAGAGCCAGTGAGGGCACTGACAAGGTAAAATGGTGCAGTGTTTGCAAAACAACAGATGGGATCTAGGAGACAGGGATGGAGATTATGATAGAACCAGCCAGAACCAGAATCTACTATCTGGTTTTTGGGAGGAGGAAGTGGGAACCAGCAACCAACATTGGGAACCAGGAACATGTCTGTCCAGCAACAGCACTAACGAAAAATGGATTTTGAAACGGACGGCGTCACTGTTCGCTACCTTTTGCTATGAGCACCTCTGTTGCTTCCAGCTGGCCCAGCCCATGGCTAGAGAAGGAGCTTTCAGGAGCATGGATAGAGGCTAGCAGGGTGCTCATGGTGCATCAGCCCCCTGATAGTCTCAGGGTGCCTTGCGCGTGGTTCGGTAATGGGGGCACGACGGCTAACTGCCGTCAGCAGCGTTTGCCAGTTGGGGGCGGGCTGGCCAGGATTACAGGCGAGCAGGCCATAGTTCATGCTCAGGGTGTAGTCTGACAGTGTAAGTTGGGGAACGGGAGGCTGAGTAGAAAAATGGCTGAAGTTGGCTAAATTTGGCTGAAATGGCTCAAAGGCCAAAGAGGTTTCACCACAGACTTGGCCCACTCCTCCCACAGATTTGGAGGGGGAGGGGGGGGGGCGGGGGCTACAGGGCTGGAGTGCCCAGAGATGCAAGGCATCAAAACCCACTGATTCATGAGCCCATCTGATGCATCTGGGAGACATCATCTCCCATGCCACTTGCATGCCATCAAAACCTGCTATCTTAACTTTTCAAATCTTTTGACTACCTGTTTGTTTATTTGGATGTCACTAAAATTTTGTGCATGTTGTCCTCTTGTCATTCAAAACAATTCCTGACCCACTTTTTGCCATCAGTTTTTACATGTTTGAAACTTTTGCCCTTCAACATCATCAGATTTCACTTTTGCTCTTGAATTTTGTCTTGTCCTTTTGTGGACAAGGCAACATTGAAAGAAAAAAAATCATCCAAAATTTCCACTCCAGCCTTTTCATTCATATATGACATAAAACAAAATTACTCCATTTCTATCTGGCAGGGTGGTGTGTTGATTGGCACTAATATGGTACCAACCATGTCCCAACAAGCATGTTGAGGCCTTTAAATGATGCTAGATGTTTGAAACAAGCTAGCTGCCAAAGAGCTTGCTTATGTGGTCATTTGACTAGCTTCTAATGGCTACCTTTTCTTAACATGTCACATAACCTGTGTTGTGCCAGATAAGCAATACATTCAAAAATTTTATGCTGAAGTTTTCTTTCCTAAATAAGAACAGCATTATATACATTTTGCGACACCCTACCACACAGTGGCTTCTTCAGCAAAACCTCCTCAGTGACAGCTGAGCATGTTTTGCACCATACACTGTCACTTGGTTGTGGATTGTTCAGCCAAGATACCAAGTGTTCAGTCCTGCAACATATTGCAGACTATGACAAGATCTTGTTGGGGGCGGCATTGTGCATTTTGGTCATGTTTTGGATATTTTGTGACAGAAATTCCTTAATTGAAGCAGCTCACATTATTTTGGGGTCACCCTGGCATCTTGGGGCAGGTTATGTAGAACTGGGGTAGAGGTCAGACAGAGCCTCAAACCACACTTATGAGTTAAAAACAGAAAGGAATAACACTCCCCAGAGGCAGGGACGGCCCAAAAACCAAGTTCCTGATAAGCATCCCGACCACATCATAGTTATGCTAAATGCTGGAATATCGTTCTGTCCAATCCTGCAGCAGCTGCTCACAAAAAACCTCCGGCCTGAAATCCACCAATGATATTCAAGCACTTAGATAGACTAGCACAAATATGTTTTCCTTATTCTAGATTTTGCTGCTTGCACTTGACAAATAAACCAGCCCTGCCAACAACCATACAGCAGACAGCATTCTGCATGAAAACTTGAAAGCTTTTCTTGTTGATACTGAGAAATGTTCAATGCCCTTCCTTAACATTTTAATTTTGTTTGGAAAATACAGATGCAATGCAAAACATTGGAAAGCAAATTTGGTGTGATTTGGATCCCTCTTAAAGACAGCAGAAGAGGCAACCAATAATAGATGCAAAACATATCAATGGGAAAATATTGTAGACCACCTCACTAGTCATCACATCACAAGCCCCTGTCCCAACTTGGGACTCCCTTGCATAGAAGCTAGCTGTCCCATTTGAGGCAGGCAGGGTCAGATCTGCCTAAACATCTTGCTGTCTGATCTGCCACCTTTTGACAACCGGCCGTGAGTGATGAACTCAAATCAACTATGTGGTACTGTTTCACTAATGCCCCCAAAATAGTTTTGACCTTGACATGTGCAAGCTCTAAAACATTTTTTTTGTAACAAGTTCTTGAGATAAGCTCCTACGAGTCATTCAGGTAAATAAATGGTCAATGCGCAAAGTTACCTGCGCTCTACCATCACGCGTATCTTATTCGACATTCTTACTCAAGATCAAAACGCTTCAACGGCCAATTTCAGCCACACTCCACGAAGCCTAACAGCGGTCGCGAAGGAACGAAACATTGCACTATTGCTTAAATCTTACCTAAATATTTTAGTCTGGAACTTTAACCGCACTGAAAATTCGTAGTCTCAAAAGGCCACCACGTAACGCCTGCCGGAATGATGCATTGTATGAAATCTGCAGTCCGCACCCATTGTCGTCCGGTCGTTGCAAATGTCTCAGCAGCTGATGTCGTATTCGCTCACGACTGCTAAATTGCCGTTCAAACAATTTTCATCTCGCCACCGTCCAGGGACGGAAATTTAATTGGAAAACTAGCTCATCCTGTCATGAAAACACGCAGTGATATCCGTGTTTTCAAGTTTTGTTAAGGCTGTTATTTCCATCTTTTGAACTAAAATCTGGCTTAGAGCCAAGTTTGAATTACTTCCGAACAATGTCACGCAACTTTTTTGTCCCGTCCTGCAGTGCACTTACATCGATCAGATTTTGCCCTCGTTGGGTGAGGGGCTGGAGCTTCAATGGGGAGGAGAAGAGGGCTCAGCTCCCTCGCCCGGATAACTTGTGAAGGACTCTGCCATTCTCATTTATGTCGCTTCGCCTGCAGATCACTGGTCAGTCACTAAACGTAGTAAGCGGACCAAATGGCCTTCGAATGCGACTCACAACGCGTGGGTTGGATATGAACTCCGAGCGGCTCCGGATTCAACTCCGGATTTCAACTCTGAGGGCAGCCATGGGTGGGTGGCCTCCGATTCCAGCTCAAGATGAAGGGCTGATTGTGAAACCGACGCCGCGCAAGTGCACCCCCGTGAAAACAATTTGTGAGACAATTCGTGGCTATCATGATACAGGGCTTTCCATGCTTTGGTCGTCTCAGCTCCAACTAACTCCAGAACTCGATGTGGAGGTGGGCTCCATCACCATTGAAAACAGTGGATCCACGATGATTGAAACGAAGCTCGGACGATCTCGGAGGAGACCCGACTGGACTCACAAATATGTGCTTACCAGGCCCCGAGTCCGTTCTTCCCTAGCCACCGTCAGCGTACCTCATCCGACCTCCTCCGCCCAACACTCTCCGTCCAACTAGCGGAGGTGCGATCCGACTCAGCGCAACGCATTCGCAATCTTTACTAATGGTTAACGGAAGACAACGCAGTGAACGCTGCCGGCTAGATAATGATGACGATTATCGGCCACCAGTACCGAATTGGCAGGGGCGCAGCCTCACAAAGTAAGTTGGGAGAGCAAACACGAGAGAATGCCCAACAATACCTCCAAAATACGTCCCCCAAACAAAAAGATTTCTCACTGTGGCCAGCTTTCTCCTCGACGTTGGAGGGGCTGGAGGTTCCTATCCAAGAGGGAAACTACGCTCCTGTGAGTGGATACATTTACGCTGCATATTTTTGGCATCACCAATTAACCGCATATGAGCTGTAGATGAAAGACGGTGCACCAACTGACTTTCGGATCCTCTCGTAAGGAAGCGGCGGGCTTCAGTCCTGCCGAACCAGTACCCAGCGTCCACGGCCACGATACTGGCCACCACTGGGCGAAACCAGCCGATCACGCGTAGTCTGTGCCCACCCATCCGAAAGCACGTGAGGTCCCATACATAGCATGGTAAACCTGTGCGTTGAGTAATTGTTTTGCCGTTTCTTACGCCAAACACCGATCACACTCCAGCATCAATGACCTCTGCGACACTCCCCCACCAGTCGCCTAAATACGTTGTGCAAGAACACAGGCATGCGATGTGCGTCCACGCATCGGACAGACAAACGATGTCATTCCCGGATCGTCATATTTCTGAGCACGCTGCTGCACGCATTCCACAACGGGCAAGTATAACGAGACTGTAACCAATATTGTCCGTTTAACTGGCCACAGGCATAACAGGGATTCATCATGCCATCGTAACCAAGACTTGGTATTTAACAGACTACAAGCAGTAAAACACCCATCTACCGACAGTCCACACCGGCAGTGCTTCCGTAAAATGAAGGCGAAATGCGCGCAGTTCTCACTATTACTGCTTCTATAACACACCACAGCCGCGTAACTCCGATCCCAGCTCCGCCAGCTGAGCACGGCGGTGCTGGCAGCCGCGTGCGGGGCGTCGGCCGGCCCGCCGTCAGCTGGAGTCACGCGCGCGCGCTCTAGGCGGGGAACTTGGTGACGGCGTCGTGGATGGCAGCTGCTACGTGGTCGAGGTTGGCGCTGCTGAGGCCGGCCATGTTGGCGCGGCCACTGCGCAGCATGTAGATGTGGTGCTCGCTGATCAGGTACTCGCACTGCTGCGCTGGGGAGCGGAGCCGGGCCGGCGTCAACACTAGCTGAGGAGCCGGGCCGGCGTCAACACTAGCTGAGGAGCGGGGCCGGGCCGGCGTCAACACTAGCTGAGGAGCGGGGCCGGCGTCAACACTAGCTGGGGAGCGGGGCCGGCCCGGCGTCAACACTAGCTGAGGAGCGGAGCCGGGCCGGCGTCAACACTAGCTGAGGAGCGGGGCCGGCCCGGCGTCAACACTAGCTGAGGAGCGGAGCCGGCCGGCGTCAAAACCAGAAGGAGCCGAGCCGGCGTCAAGACTAGCTGAGGAGCGGGGCCGAGCCGGCGTCAACACTAGCTGAGGAGCGGGGCCGGCCCGGCGTCAAAACCAGAAGGAGCCGGGCCGGCGTCACACTAGCTGAGGAGCGGGGCCGGCCCGGCGTCAAAACCAGAAGGAGCCGGGCCGGCGTCAACACTAGCTGAGGAGCGGGGCCGGCCCGGCGTCAAAACCAGAAGGAGCCGAGCCGGCGTCCAACACTAGCTGAGGAGCGGGGCCGGCCCGGCGTCAAAACCAGAAGGAGCCGGGCCGGCGTCAACACTAGCTGAGGAGCGGGGCCGGCCCGGCGTCAAAACCAGAAGGAGCCGAGCCGGCGTCAACACTAGCTGAGGAGCGGGGCCCAGCCGGCGTCAACACTAGCTGAGGAGCGGGGCCGGGCCGGCGTCAAGACCAGAAAGAGCCGGGCCGGCGTCAACACTAGCTGAGGAGCCGGGCCGGCGTCAACACTAGCTGAGGAGCCGGACCGGCGTCAACACTTGCTAAGGAACGAGGCCGGCATCAAGACCAGCAGGAGACGCCCACCGCCGGCTTGCGCGTGGGCTGGACACGAGCGCCTCCGTGTCGTCACAACAGTCGGTCGGTACAGGCAGTCAAGGCCAGAAAGCAAATGTTGCCGAGAATAACGTAGGTGGCGCTCATTGTTGGTGCGAGCTACGCTGGGATCAACGTTACACCAAGAGCTGGTTCATGCGTGGGCGCTGATGGACCGCCCACGTGATCAAGCTATGCTACAGGTTTGCACTGCTCGCCAAGACGCACCGGCGATTTGGAGCGCGCCATCCAAAGTCATGCCGCGACTGCCTGCCGTAAATGTTTCCCTCCCAATGAAAGCATACCTCGTGGACGGGAACCGGGGCCACGGTGCACGAGCGAGCCAGCTGTGTTCGCGTCACCTGAGCACGCTCCTCGCCGCGGGGCGAACCCTGAGCACTGACATAACACCCTCCGAACGGGGCCAAGCAGGGACCGGGACGCATCGTCCCCACGCCCGAAGCTCGACGCTCAGCCGCCGCCACCAACACAGACGGGACGGCGCGCTGCTGCCGAGACGGCACACACACACATACACAAGGAGTTCATTGGGCCCGACGGGCAGGTGGCGACACAGCTGGCTGGGCGGCGGTGTCGCGCGCCGCGCCACAGCTGCGGTCGGGTGACACCGGACGGAAGCGTGCCGGTCCCGTACACCGGCTGAAAGACCGCCCGAGCCCACCCCTCACCACCGACAGACCAGCTTACATTTCTGTCCAACAACACAGACTGCGACGCGCCTCCGCCCGCCGCCACCGGTCGAGCAGCGCCGCCGAGCGCACGTGCCGCTCCGGGAACGGCGGTCCCGCGCGGCGCACTCACGCGTCAGGCCGGTGAAGGAGAACATGCCGATCTGTCTGGTGATGTGGTCCCAGGTGCCGGGCGTGCCCAGCTTCACCAGACGGTCGCGCAGCGCCTCCCGCATCTGGATGATCCGCGCCGACATCACCTTGATGCAGTCCTGCCTGCGGAGCGGCGCGGGGCCGGTCAGGCCGGAGCACGGGTCAGACTGGAGCACGGGCTAGACCGGAGCTCGGGTCAGACCAGGGCCCACGTCACACTGGTACCCGGGTCAGACCGGAGCCTGGGTCAGACCAGAGCCTAGGTCAGGCCGGAGCACGGGTCAGGCTGGAGTCCGGGTCAGGCCGGAGCCTGGGTCAGGCCGGAGCACGGGGTCTGACTGGAGCTCGGGAGCAGCGGTCCCTCGGCGTGTCCGAGGCGCGCGCTGCTGACTCCCCTCCGCTGACCCGGAGGCCGCGCGGACGGCACCGTACCGGGTCACCGCCGCCGATAATCCGCTGCTCCCCGCAGATCATCGGTCGGCTGACCCCAACTGACGCAAGCGACCCACCACCGATGCCACCATAGGCGCGGGAGCGGATCCCTGTCATGACGCGGTAGCTTTGAAGAGAGCGCAAGATCGCGGCATGTCACCGATGCGAAAGTCTTACAAAGTACGGTCTCCGTTTCCACCCACCCCGAACGACCCAACGCTCCGCCCAGCTCCGGTACCACCAACGCACCAGCGGCACGCGAGCCTGTGCCGCATCGGAGAGACACGAGAGCCGCGCCCGCTCCCTGAGGCGCTCACCACTCGGCGAAGAGGTCCTTGTTGGTGAGCGTGGCGGCGACGACGCGCGCCCCGTGCGCCGGCGGGTTACTGTACGTGGCGCGCACCACCAGCGTCAGCTGAGTCTGCACCGCGGCCGCCAGCTCCGGGTCCGACATCACCACCGTCAGGTTGCCGACCCGCTCGTCTGGGGACGGGGAGAGCGCGCCAATCAGCCCGCCTCGGATGGTCGCGTCCTTGATCCACCAGCCCTGTGACAGTCAGGTGACCACGACCCGCTCGTCTGGGATTGTCAGGTTACTGATTCACCCGTCTCATTGGTTATGGTGATTGATCCGCTCGTCCGAGGGGAAGGGTCGCGTTATTACGCCATCAGTCTGCTGAGGAGTGTCAGGTTGCGGTTCCTCTCGTCTGATGGGGTCACGCTTCTGCTCCGGTCATGTGTGCGCGGGGAACGCTGCCGATCCGCCGCTTGAGGGAAGGGGTCAGGGTGTGGTCTAACTCATCTGATAGAGTCAGGTTAGCGTTGCTCACCCGATGAGGGGGCGGCTCAGGGCAAGGGAGCACATGACCGGCCCGCTCGCCCACAGAGACTTTCTCCTGCGTCCGGGTACAGAGACTGCCTGCTCATCCAGGCCACACTCACTGTACAGCCCGAAGTTCTTGGAGAAGGACTGCGAGCAGAAAAGCTCCAGGCCCTCCTTGGCGAAGTGCCGGACGGCCTTGGCGTCCTTGTCCGGGTCGCCCGACGCGAAGCCCTGATACGCCGAGTCGAAGAACGGGAACAGCTTCTTCTCGCGGATGATCTCGCACAGCTGCTTCCACTGCTCGTCCGTCGGGTCGCAGCCGGTCGGGTTGTGCGCGCATGCGTGCAGGATGACGACCGAGTTCTCCGGCGCCTGCCGCAGGTCCTCGCACATGCCGTCAAAGTCGATGTTCTTGGTTTTGGGGTCCCAGTAGCGGTAGGCGCGGCCCTGCTTGAAGCCCGCAGTGTCGAAGATGAGCTTGTGGTTTCCTGAGGGTGCAAAACGGGTAACTTTCGGTAAATTTACCATGTAAATGGATAACCAAATAACACCCAGGCGTGCACTAAAGCTGTCACGTTGACCTTCCATTGATACTTGATGCTGAAACAGCTACATCATAAGGTATCGATAATTCGCAACGACCCGAACACTCGGTGAATACAAACGCCACACCATCAGCCACAGCTACATCGACTGGTATAGCCACCCCACATGATTACAATAAAAACATCTTACATGGAAAGACAAGCTCTCTCAGCTAGGAGCCCCAGATGTCATGTCGCGACCCACGACTTCTTACGGCCTTTGACCACCACCACACCCAAGTTCCGTCTCAACGTCACGTGCTGCAGCCGGTCCCAGCTGCCCGACCATCGCCCTGCGCCCGCCAGCTCCGCCAGCCGCGGCGCCGCACGCACCCCAGGTGGGCTGCGAGTAGTAGTAGGTGTCGTAGCCGAGGATCTTGCGCAGGAACAGGGCGCCGATGTAGAGCGCGCCCGTGCCGGACAGCGCCTGCACGCCGATCGCCTGCCGGACGGAGGGCGGGTCTGACCAGAGAGCGGCGGGCGCGGACCGCGCGCCTCCGACGGATGGCGGCGGCGGCGCGCTCCGCCAGCGGCGGCGGCACGCTCCGCGCTGCAGCCGGCCCGCCAGCGAGGCGCCCACCGCTGGCGAAGCGTGGACGAGTCACCATGATCGCGTCGGGGGTATACAGGGTGATCTATGTGGGTGGAGAGCTCTGGATCTCTGGGGAGATGTTCGAGCTGAGTCTGATTGTACTATGTGATCCGCTTGCTTCCGTGCCTCAATTGAAAAGGAAAACTAAGCCATTCATGGGCGACCAGGGGGCGGGCTAAACCAGAGTCACGATGAGAGTAGAAGTGGAGATGGGGTTCAGGCCTGGTCCGGCCTGGTCATTTCAAGTCAGCTCTTATCATATCAGAGTCAAGTCAGGCCAAGTGCTTAGTGTGATCAGGACACCAGACATGACAGTGAACCGTGTTCTGTTTATGCAGCTTGTGCCACATCCTGTCATGTCAGGTCGTGCTGGTTTGATTTAGTTTGGTATGGTTTGGTTTGGTTTGGTTTGGTTTGGTTTGGTTTGGTTTGGTTTGCTTTGGTTTGGTCTGGTCTAGTCTGGTCTGGTCTGGTCTGGTCTGGTCTGGTCTGGTCTGGTCTGGTCTGGTCTGGCATGGAATGGCATGGCATGACATTTCATGACATGACATGATGTGACATGACAAAATGACACAATGTAGCATGGTATGTTATGGTGTGGATTGTTTGGTTTGGTTTCATTTGGTATGGTTTGGTATAGTTGGCTTTGGACTGGTTTGGTCTGGTCTGGTCTGGTCTGGTCTGGTCTCATCTGGTCTAGCCAGTTCAGTTCAGTTCAGTTCATTTCAGTTCAGTTCAGTTCAGTTCAGTTCAGTTCAGTTCAGTTCAGTTCAGTTCAGGTCAGGTCATCTGGCATGATCAGGTCAAGTCTGGCATTATCAGATCAGGTCTAGTTTGGCCAGGTCAGGTCTGATCACATTTGATCACGTCAGGTCAGGTCAGGTCAGGTCTAATCTGATCTGGGCTGTGCCCTGTCATGTCTCTATGTCCAGTTGGATGAGTTGCCCATTTGTCAGTGAGCACTGTAAGTTGGCTGGGCCACATATCTAGACAAGCATTGTTCGTCCTGAGACCTAGTCAGTGATCAGCGATGGTGTTACTCTCCATACCCTGTTCTCTATGACAGCAGGGCAGTCTGTTCCCAGAAGCAAGTGCACAGCAGCCTTGGAGAGGGCATCCAGTCCAAGCACTGGTAGGTACTCGTGGTTCAGCGTCTCGTCGGCGGCCAGCATAACCTCCAGCTTCCGCACCACTGGCAGAACCCATGGCTTTCCCTCTTCTGATCGGTATGCTGGGGAGAATGGGCACAGATCATCTCAATGACATTAGTGTGGAAATACACAACTTGTATGGTGGGGGAGAATGGCATAGATCATCCCAATGACATTAGTGTGAGAAACACAACTCAAACATTTAAAATCAATACCAGCCCTCTAGTTTATGCAGACTTCAGTAAAAAAAAACATTATGCTACAGGTTATGGGTATCCATTGCTATGCCCTTATCATAAAGATACTCATAGCAATTTTGTTTTGAATGTTTTGATAACTGCTTTTGAGCTATTGCAAAGCTTTAAGAGCAACACAAAATGATTTCTCATGTTGTTATGTAATGGTGTCCACAGCCCAAACATAGGCTGCAGGGCACTCAAAGGCCACGTAAGGTCAAACTATGGCATTCCAACTTGCGTTGCAAAATGTTGGCGGAACTCAGGTTAGATAAAGTATTGAAAAAACATCAATTACTAGATGGTGATCACATGTTAAAAATCTAAAGGTCAGTGCTCAAACCAAAAGGTCATTCAAAGTCAAATATTTTCTTAGCAATATTGTATGACCTTCTCTAGGCACCTGGTGGCACGCCTTATCTTTGAGTAACAAATATAATCATGTCCCAGCAATCAGCTCAAACTGACCAATATACCAGACAGTGCTGTGTTTGACAAAGCATAAACCATTTGACCCTACAGTACAAAGTAAAAACACACTAAAAAGAACTAGTGGGAGTCAGAATCCATATCAAATTTCCATGATGACAAGGATGGAAACCAGATTACCCAGGGAGCCACCACTAAGATGTACCTAAATGCCTATTTTCCTTGCATGCAAGTTTTGAGCATGTTTAAACCAGGCTTCAAAAATGCACTTTACAGGGACACCAGGCAATATTTGCCACAGAAGCAGTGCTACGGGAATTCCATCAACACCCTCACAAACATGGCAAAACTGAAGTTATGGAATCTCAGTTTGGTGCAATTGCCACCAATTCCAGCCCATAACCAGCCAATTTTTCAAGATGTTGTCATGTCTAACAGGAAAATACAGACAAAAATACTTAACATCTTTTTCACAGGGAATTCACTTGAATGTTCAATGCCATTTGGCACGCAAGCGCGATGTTCACCACACCATGCCAAGCACCGTAGGCGTCCACCGCAATGGATGAATTTTTTTTGCAGACTGGTTAACCCCACCCAGATTGCGTTTCATACACTCACCTCCAACTCCCAAGTTCACTTTTTTGGGATGCTGATCGGCATTAAACCCTCTTGTCAGGGCAAATACTTCAATTGGTGGGGCAGTCTGAACGTCAGCGAAGCGGCTCATAATGGAGGATTGTTCGTCCTTTTCAGCTTTAAAAGTTGTGATCAAAAGCGTGGACGACCCTGGGGGTACGAACGGCCCGTTCTATGTCAGAAAAAAATTATAGCGGGCGGCCCGGAACAGGAATAACGACCCGAGAAACGCGCCGCAGCTTCCAATCCAAGCCAGACCGCTTCGCTCGCACGATCACCTTCACGAAGGTCACATCCCGCCCCGCCCCCTTCCCCAGAGTTGATTGGAAGCGTTCGGAAAACGCGTGCTAGGTCCACGTAAAGTACTGCCCTCATTAACGCAGTTACACCTGGTAGCAATGTGATATTCTGGCCTTCTTTGTGTTCCGTTCAACAACCATAAGTTTCCAGAAATATGATCATACATCAGCCAGGCACCAACCACTGCTTTTGTAACCAAAACTAGCTGTGAGCCTCAACACTCAACCCAGACAACGAAGAACTCCCGGTTCCCACCAGTTCCTACAACACCCATGCTTTATCGTTTCTCAGTGCGCGTATCGCCGGAGGCATAAGCTTAAGGGTAGAGTGCGGGGCTCATGCAAAAAATATCGCCCCAGCATTTGCACGATGCAAGCATTCATCCACAAAATAACTACTGGAAGATCACGCTGAAGCGGGACGGCTGTGTTGGCATTGCAATGTATGCTACAACTCGAAAGCTTTCCGACTTTTAATTTTTGCATGGAAATTGGGGTTTCTATGCCGGGAAGCTGGGATTATAGTCTTTACAACAAGTTATGGTTACTGAAGAATGTCCTGCCCAAACCAGGAGTTTTCAAACAGTCAGTCAAATTGAAAATAAAAATGTTTTTGGTGTTAATAAGCCTGGCAATCGGGACCAGCCAGCTAACTGGAGGTTCATTCTTTTTAAAACGTAATCATCTTTCATTTCTTTTGTGAGATATTTGGATATTGACCAGAAAACTTTTTGGAGTAATACATGCGTACCACAGCTGAATTCAAGGCCGCCGTATTGCGAGCTGCGCGCGCAGGTATGAGATTGTAAATGCTTCGAATAAGTCTAAGTTTTTTATATGGTCCATGAAGTTACATTCTCAGTTTTCCTGTACACAAATTATTAGAGCTTGAAAACAATTTAATGCAAATTGACACAGTTTTAGAATCAAATATCCTTGGAAGTCATCCAAGTTAGGTAGAAATCGCGTCGTAAATGCCACACAAAGACGAAAGTTTGTTATTGGTCACTCATTGTTGTTCAATGCGTATGGTGGTGGGGCGAAATCGGGTTGGTTGTTTTCTGTGATGTGAGGTGTTTGTTCATTATTGTTGCTTTGTCCAAAAACAAGGGCAAAGGTTTTCAAGCTCTACCAACGCGTTGATGCCTGGTGCGTTTGGTTACCATTTAATAAGTCTAGTGCCTCGCGTGGTGAGGGATCAGGGAATATTAACTTCCACGTTAAAAGGTACGCATACGGTGCCAGTAGTTCAAAACCTGAATGCCTTGCTCAGCATCTTCCATCACAATAAGCATATATTTGCCAGTGTGTCAAATTCGCGTCATTTGTAATGTTCCTGCTACCAACCCAGGTACAGGATCCTATTGCAAGTCTGTTTGTGTTGTTGAGGTGGATAGGTGAATGACCTGTTGCCCCAATTGAAAAAAGCATTGTGGCAGCAATTTCAGAGAAAATGCGCCTCAAATCTGAGCCATCAAAGTTTGGTGCATTGTTATTACCAGTCTTGGTTCATGGAGAGCTAATGCTTCAAAGGGTTATGGTGTTGCAAGAGCAATTTCAGGCAAATATGCTCCAAAAACATTTATTTATGCAAAATTGATCAGGATATTAAGTGCAATGCACCCAGGTTTGAGTTAAGCCCATTCTTGTGCGAGTGTTAGCTCGCCAAGCTAAACAGACTACCCACTGGGTGAATTTCTTATGACCAAACATACAAGGCTAAACATAAACACTGCAAAAGTTTGCCCTCCCCTGGTCACAGCATTTAACAGTGCTATATTTTCAGAAATTTAGGGATTCAGCCCTGTCTGACTCCTGCAGTTTGTGTGTCTATGGTGGGAATGCTGAAAACTTGGTTTTTCTTGTAATGATGTAAAGATGATATGTGTGATAACTGAGCATGGTTGACAGACAGTATGCATTGGCATTAACAGTGTATTTGATACACAGCCAAAGCTGATAAGCTATGGATGTGTTCAAACCAACTAAAATAGCATGGGAAAATATGAATGCTCTGTTATAGCAGCAATCTGTCCTGATACATTGGAAACCTTTTTTGCTGCTAGTTTTCTGCAGACATTGATTATTCTGTGAAGTTGTGCTGAATTGTTATCCTTGAGATAGTTATATCTTAGTGCTGAAATCATCATCACATTATTTTACTGCAGCAAATGGTATTCAATAACCAGTTATAGAAATGCGTATTTTTAATTTTAGAATATGCATGCGGTAAAGTTGCATGGCAAAATCAAAAGTATACCTACTAAATGAATTAGTGGCTATGAAAAGAAGGTTGGAGCTACTTACAGGTATGTAATATGCTCTGGAGCTAATTACGGGTGTGCAGTAGGCTAGCTTATCACCCCTAGTCATGATGGTGACTAGGGGTGGGCAACCCAGGTAGAAAGATGACTGATTAGCTTTTTCAAAAATAAGCATACAGTTTATTATTGAAGTTTCAGTCTGAGCGCCACTCTATCAGGACCATGGATCTAAGTCCAGGTCTATGTTTGATCAATTAAACCATAAATGCACATCCCAACTTCACTGGCTCAGTGTAAAATGTTACATAAGCCCCCAGGGGATTAATATTATTTGTAATAGAGCCATGATTATCATGATCTTATCTCAATTATTAATTGATTGTCATTATCAGCATAATTCTCATCATGTTATAGTCTTTTGACAGCCCATGGGTGGCTTCATGATATCTTGAAGACATTCTAATATCAGTTATTTCAACTTTTGTGCCACACAGGACACTGAATTGCTATTGTAAGGTGTGAAGTAGAGCTTTATGATGTTGTTTACTTGTCCAGGCAAGCCATATCTAAAGGAATTGCAATTTTTCTTGTAAAACTATTTGTCTTTGGCTACTGGTCAATTGGATAAAATTGGGCACTATCCAAAGTTTCAGGATATGGTTGAGAGACAAAGTTAGTTTTCTGCTCCTTTATTTTCAAGTGATGTTCCTTCTCTTGACTTTGTGATTAGGGATGGCTTGATATGTGCATTAGCAGATATGTGCAAGACCACAACTAGATTTATTGTCTTCACCAGACATTGGTTTTAAATTGATATTTTTGTTTTTTTGACAGGGGGTACAATATTACCATGATAGTTCTCATACCTTAAATCCCAGTTGTCACTTCCCACACACATTATCTGGTTGAACATTTTAGTTGTGGCCTGGAATCAGAGCCCCAACCAAGAGCTGATTTTTGTGCAGGTCCTGCCCTTAGCATCCAAACAGAGCACTTCTAGTTGAATATACAGCTGTTGCCAGATATTTGCAATTGCCACACATGACTGTTGCACAGTTGTTCCAGTCTAGTAGTCCCAGGCAGTTGTTTATTGGCCATCAATTTGGGCCATGCTAGCCCAGTTTCTAGGCATGGATGATCATGCCTGCCACAATACCACATATTATAATTTTTGATGTTTTACTAATTGGACAACATGGGTGGTAACTTGCTGAATGATGCTAAGTCTACAAAACAGACATGCTTGAAGCTCCCAAAAGATCCTAGGATGCCATCAAGATGCATGGAACCATGTGGGATCTAGAATCCACCTATGGGACCCTGGCACATGTTAACTACCTGGGCCAAATTAAGATGTGGAAGTGCAAGAGGGATGGTGTTAGGTCTAGACATGGTCTGTGTAAGGTGTTAGTTCTGCCTCATGTGACTTTAGTGCATACTGAGTTGTTGTCCATCTGAGCTCCAGTGAGTCATGAGAGTTGTACTGGACCACAAATGATTGTTGAGAATGAAAATGTAGTATGCTGTTGAGTAGGAAAAGGTAGTTATCAGAGGAGCTCAACACTGAGTACAGGATTGGTCATTTGTGAAAACTGGCCCTGCCCCAACTTGGGTGCACTTTCATTGCCTATGATTAGGCTGATCAGTTTACAAAAGGCTCAGGTGTACACATGTTATGCTGGGCTGAACAGGAGGTCACTGTCATAAAGCCAACCTCCAGTCTGCACAAAGTCTCAGATGCCTGAGTGCCCAGCTGATTGCTTTCACTTCATCACAATGGTCTGTTTGCTGATCACATCAGGTATTTAGGCCAACCCAACACTAGCAGTGCCAGAGACACACAATCTTGACTGTGTTGGTTGTGGGCAAAGCATTTGCCAAAGCTCAGTGCTTTTTGAACTCTCTGTTTCTGTGCAGCTGAACAGCCATCCCAGAATGTCAAGCATTGTCAAATGTGTGTAAACATTAGCTCCTCTATCATCATCCTCATTGTCTCTGTTAGTGTGCAGTGTCACAGTGGTGAGCAATGGGTACTTGCTGCCATGCAGGGGTGGTTTGGGCTCGTGTCCATGCTGCAGGGTGAGGTAAACACTGGAGAGGCAGGCGGGAGCATTGGCCAAGAGGTCGCAACCATGTCAGTGCACGACGCGTGAAAATGCTCTGCTGAAGTTGCCTTGTTGAACTGGAATCACTATTGTGTGTGTGTGTGGCATTCAGCGAGGAGAATGTTCTTTACAACTAAATATACATAACATAGTCTGCTGAAGTAATCTTTGCAAACTGAAAGATATCTGTGTAAAGCTGCCAACACTCAGCAAGCTGTGGTTGCATTCACTGGCAGTGCTTTTTGCCCATTGGGAGGAATTGCTCAATGTTGCATTACAGCAAAATTATTAATGTCAGATTCACCACTTTCTGAACTTTATGGTATTTGTGGCCTCGCCTGAATAGAGGCTGTGGTTTGTGTTGCAGGCGCTAAGGAGCGGTTGAGTGTCATGTCGCAGTAGCGGGCCGCGCCGCAGTCCGCCCGGCCCGCGTTCAGGCGGCGCCCGGGCCGCCGGCAGTCATGAGCTCCGCCGAACACAAGTGGGCCTGCGAGTACTGCACGTACGAAAACTTCCCATCCTCCAAGAAATGCACGATGTGCTACGCGCCGCGCGTCGTCTACCTGATCTCGGAGCAGGCCGACCCAAGTATTTACATCTGTTCGTCGGCTGGCGGCGGCGGCGGCGGCAGCGGAGGCGGAGGGGGAGGCGGCGGCGGCGGTGGCAGCAGCAGTCCGCCGGCCTCGCCGCGGGCCGCCGACGAGGCCGGCCGCAAGTGGCCGTGCGCGCTCTGCACCTACCTCAACTGGCCGCGCGCCGCCAAGTGCGTGCAGTGCCTGTCGCCGCGACGGCGCGCCTCGCCGCTCTCGGCGGCCGGGCTGCACGAGGCGCTGGCGCCGCTGCGCATCCGCACGCCGTCGGCCGAGAGCCTGGCGCGCCGCGGCTCGCCGCCGACGCCGTCGCCGCGCCACCAGGAGCCGGCGGCCGGGCCGCGCAAGTGGGCGTGCGCCGCCTGCACGTACGAGAACTATCCGCGCCGCCGGCGCTGCGCCATGTGCCAGGTGTGGCGGCCGGCCGGCGAGCCGGACGAGGGCGGCGAGGGCGGCGGCGCCGCGGCCGCCTCGCCGCCGCTCTCCAACTACGAGTACGAGCGCCGGCTGAAGCAGCTGCGCCGCCGCCAGCGCGAGGCCGACTGGGGCTGGCTCAGCGCCTGCCTCGCCACCGTCGACGGCGACCCGGAGCCGGTCGACGCGTACCTCGCCTCAGGTGGGTACGGCGGCGGCCGACGCGCCGCCCGGCTCATGCGTGTCGGGACGGAATGCGTTACTTTGGACGGCAATGTGGGCCTGCCCTTTGTATCAAGCTACGCTATGGCCACTGCGCGTCTTGGAAACCAGAGCTACGGGGCTCGATTCCCCGCGGTGCCCGCCTTTCCTACCAGGGTGAGAGGCAGGCGACGCCATGTAGCATCAGCAGCTGAGTGCGTCGTAAAGCCTCAGTGACACACACAAGCTACCATGTTGGTTATCGTGGGTCTCAGTGGCTGAGTCTACGTTAGGGCCGTGGTGGTTCTAGTGTGTGAACGTTGTCCGTGTGGCTGGCTCCCGTACAGGAGGTACAGTGCAGATCTCCCACGAAACGTGTCCGATATCAGCGTGGGTCGTCGCGGCGGCGTGTTTGTGTGAGCCCGCTGTGTCCCCGTGCGAGCTCCCGCGTCGCCGCCTGACGCGACCTGCCGTCTGTTCGCGGCCAGGAGGTGACCCGGCCCGCCAGCTGAGCAAGGCCGAAGTGACGCTGCTGAATCGACCAGCCGTCTTCGAGCCCGGCCTCACGCTCGTCCACCTGGCCATCAGGTCAGTATACATGCTAGTACACCTGGTAGTAGACCTGGTCATCAGGTCAGTATACATGCTAGTGCACCTGGTCATCATGCTGGGAGGAATAGCAGTTCACCTGGCCATTATGTCAGGAGGAATAACGGTCCAGCTGGTCATCATGTCAGGAGGAATAACAAGGCAGCTGGTCATCATGTCAGGAGGGATAACAATCCACCTGGTCATCATGTGAGGCAAAACACTAGTCCACCTGGTCATCATGTCAGTTAGCGCACCATTCCACCCAGTGGTCATCATTTCACAAGTCACGGTTGCACGTGTCATCCTGCGGCACCGTTAAATGCTCACCCTGGCACCAGCTAAACACTGAAAAGTGAATAAGCGCGGAGCTGGCAGTTCCTTCATAACTTGCCTGCGCCGGCGCGAGAACGCATATTTGCGTTTGCGAATTATATGGGAGAACGTGCTATTATCATACGTGGCTCGATTTTTGCTTTTGCTGCGTAAGGAGAGACCGCGCATGCGCAGGCTGCGTGATCCAGGCTGGTGGCGTGGTGAGGCCCGGCGGTGGTCAGTGTTGCTGTTGGGCGCGCGCGTCCGCTGACGGGGACGGCGCGCCGCCGCAGGTTCTGCCAGGACAACATCCTGTCGACGGTGCTGACGCGCATGGAGGGCTCCGGCTCGGGCGTCAAGCGCGTGCCGTCGTTCGTCGCGCCCGACCTGGCGCAGGCCGTGCGCCGCTCGGTGGCCACCACGCTCCGCCAGAAGAAGGTCGCCTTCCCCTGCTACTTCATGACCGACATGACGTGGTTTTCTCTGCCCGCCGGTGGGTGCGCGACGCTGCGGTTGGCGCGCCTGCTGCCGCTGCTCGGGAGGGAGGGCAGGGGGGGGGGGGAGGGGAAGAGGGAGCGACCGGTGGCGCTGCGCCAGGCCCGAGGCCGGCCGGCCACGCGGTCCTGCATCGTTTGCGTTAGACAGTGTGACGCTGGCGGCGCTGGGCGGATCGGAACGGCGTAGGGTGAAAAGGAGCGCGGGGACGTGCTGTGCTGCCCGCTGCGTCCATGGCGGCCCGGCCTGCCGAGTTCCGGAGGTCGTCAGGGATCGTCAGAGTCGCTCGGGCGACGAGCGTCACCGCCCCGAGGCCGGCGCACCGTAACGCTTGACCCGACCCCTTCCCCCCGGCCCGCAGACATTGAGGAGCTGCCAGAGATGGTGCAGCAGCAGCTGTTCGAGGAGCTGCTGGACAAGGACGCGCAGAAGGAGCTGGAGGTGGACGCGCCCATCATCAACTGGAGCCTGGACGTGACGGAGCGGCTGGGCTCGCGGCTGCACGCCGTCTGGAACCGAACGGCCGGCGACTGCCTGCTCGACTCGGTGCTGCAGACCACCTGGGGCGTGTTCGACCGCGAGAACACGCTCCGACGCGCCCTCTTCGACAGCCTGCACGAGGCGGCCGGCGCGTGAGTGGCTCCACCCCCAGGCATGGCTGAGCTGACCGGGCGCGCGCGGGGATCGACCCGATGCTTGGATTCTTTTAAAGAGCTTCTAGTGGGGTTCGTTCGTCGTCAGGCGTAGAACGTGCGGGCTATGGGGTGACGCGCCGTCTGGTGCGGCAGGCGTCGTGAGCCGCCGTGTAGTCCTCGTGTCCTCCCCGCCCTGCGCCGGACCGGCCGGCGCCGCGTCAGCAGCCGCCTGCCCTGGCCGACAGGTTCTACCCGCGCTGGTGCGAGTATGAGCGCCAGCAGACGGAGCGGCTGCAGTACAGCCTGGACGAGGACCAGCTGCGCCACGACTGGCTGCAGCTGCTGGCGCTCGGCAAGCCGGGCATGCCGCTCGAGCAGCTGCACATCTGGACGCTGGCGCACATCATCCGCCGACCCATCATCGTGTACGGCGTCAAGTACGTCAAGAGCTTCCGGGGCGAGCCACTCGGCTACGCCAGGTTCGAAGGTCAGTGGCGGGGCGGTGCGGCCTGGCGGGAGGGGGCCTAGTGGCCGCTGCAGCTGTGAGAGGAGCGGCGCGACGCCGATGCTGTTAAAGCTGAGGACAAGCTAGTGTCCGTCTGCGTGGTACGCGGGAATGGGCATTTGAGGTGTTCGTACTGCCGCTGATAGTATATTAGCTCGTTACAATTGAGCGGAACATTTTTTTTTTGTGCGCTGGGTCACAGGAAAGTTCCCTTTTGTAAATGGTGTTGTCAACCACATACAGCTGTGCCGAATGTTATCGAACCAAATGTGTTAGCTGGGATTCACGTTGCCTGGGTACGTCACTTGCTGAAACGTTCTCGTAACTCGACGTTCATTGCGTGACTTGGGAACCAGATTTGACATCTCTCGGGCCGACCCGGTCGGGTGCACTGGCGGGCGTGCGTGGGCACCCAGACCGCGTCCGGCGCTGTCCCCGAGACCAGCGCCGCAAGCCGGCGGCGTGTGCTGTCTGCCGGGGGCGTCTCAGCCTGAACCCGCTGCGTTTCAGGGGTGTACCTGCCGCTGCTGTGGGACTCGTCCTTCTGCTCCAAGTCGCCCATCTGCCTGGGCTACACGCGGGGGCACTTCTCGGCGCTGCTTCCGGCCATGCCGCCCACCTCGCACATCACCGGCGCCGGTCAGTCGGCGGGCGGTGCGCCGCTGCGGCTGAGGCGGCGGCTCGCGTGGGCGCGAGTAGGCAGCGAGTGGGCGCTAGAGGGCTTGATAGGACTGCGCACGCGGGGAAATGCCTCTGGCGGTGATGTGCCGAGGGCCGGCGACCGTTGGCTCCGACCAGCGGCGAACGGATCCTGCCGAGCTTCGGGTCGTACAGACGGCCGCCGTGGCGCCAAGGCTGTCCAACCACGGCCTCCAGCGGACCGGAGCCGTTCCGCCGGCGTTCGGACCGAGGCCCTGCCGCCCCCCCCCCCCCCCATCTGACGCCGTCTCTGCCGACTGGCCTCGGTCCTGACTTCGCCGCTGTCTGCAGGCGCCGACCAGCACAGCCCGGAGGCGGGCGGCGTCGTGTTCTTCCCGCTGATGACACACGACGGCAAGCTGCTGCCGGTGCACTTCGTGACGCGCGCCGAGCGCGGCCGCGAGGAGGCGCTGCTGCGCCAGTGGCTGGACGTGTGCGTCACCGACGGCGGCTGTCTGGTGACGCAGTGCCAGCTGCCGCGGCCGCCGCTGCTCGTCGCACAGATGGTGCAGGAGTGGCTCAACTACTACCGCCGCATGTGGTGAGCGGCGCCGCGTGGGAAGGGCGCCGGCGGCGGGGCGCCCTGCTGCCGGCGGCGCTCGAAACGGACTGACTGTCCTCACAGCGCTAATGGTCACGAATTAGATGATACACTGTTTGAAATTCTCAAATAGGTGGGCCAGACGACTGACTGTCTTACTCGTATGGTGATTGGCTTCTGCCGTGTCGTCTGTTCAGATCAAAAACGAATTGATCAATACGTATTACGGCCCTGTGGCATCTCCATGGCCATTGCCTTCTCTTGGCATTCCAGTCTTGGCATTTGCACGCCCATCCTGGGCGTCCTATTGACAATCCCGTGGTGCATCACCAGCATCTGAGATGCAGCCTGCGAGCGTTTCGCTGTCGAGTCTCGTCGCCATTGGGGCTTTGCGACGCACTCAGCTGCTGGGGTACATGGCGTCGCCTGCCTGTCACCCTAGCGGGAAGGGCAGGCACCGCGGGCAATCGAATCCCGTAGCTCTAGTTTTTTCAGATGCGCAGTGGTCAGCTCATATGCGTTAACCGCCGCGCCACCGGCACCCCGCCGTCCAGCCTGGTGCCGCCCGGTGGCGCCTCACTGACGGCGACCTGTCGGCGTGTTCGCAGCCCAGTGACCGGTCCGGTGTTCCCCACCAAGCTGCCGGCGGCCGGCGACGAGGCCAGCTCCGAGAACGAGTCGGAGGGCGAGTGACGACCGCACGCGCGCCGCGCCGTTTAGTCCAGTGATATTGACGTAGTCACGTGTGACCGCCGCTGCCGCCGCCCGTCTGCGCGCGCGCCCCTCCCCTTCGTAGACGAGTCTAGTGACACGTACCTGATACATAGAACAACGGGCGGCCGGCGGTCGCGGCGAAGCCAGCCGCCGGGCTCTACACGCATGCATACATATACATAAGATATATAAATATATAGAGACAGCGCGCGCGAGAGGGGCGCGCGTTGTGGGCGGACGGGCTGGTGGCGGCCTTGCTCGCGCTCCCCGGTCGACGGCCGGTGCCGGCCTCCTGTTTTGGGATGTTATCTACTGCGTAAATGCATATTTTGCCGGCGCAGCTGCCGCCGACGGACGGCGCCGCGCGTCCGGGCACGCTTAGTGTTGTTGGAACGCCACCCGGGTTGGTCGTATGTGTATTTGCTAAAAGCCCTGCCGTCCCAGCGTCCCCTAACCCGGCCAGTGAGGCAATAAATGAAGCGGAAAGCGGAAGCACTCTGCAGCGGCGGCTGCGGACAGACCGGGCAGAAGGCGGGGGCGGGCTCGCCGGGTATGTACACACGCGCCGCCTCCGGCAAGCCGGCTGGCAATTGGTCGGCGGTGGTCGTCCTCTAGCTTAAGAACGGTCCAGCGACCGTCAACCCAACACGAAAACTACGACTACTGACATACCAACAACGATCGGCGTTAACATCCCCAACCGGCGTCTGCTGCAGACCAAATGTGAGTGGGATGGAGTAAAACTACGATGATGGTGGCGGTGGCGGATTGTCCGAGCAGAATGCGCGGACCGTACGCAACTGACGGCCAGCCGGCCCACTCACGCGGGCCACGACACTGACGCGAACGGGCTGACGTCCCGCCGCCGGGTGACGTCACGGCAGTCATCGCGAGGCACGCGCTCGCACGACCGCTCCCGCCGGCTCCGGCAGCCGCCGCCTCTCCGTACTGGGTCTCCTCGGCGGGTGGCGGCGCGGCGGGCCGCTCAGGGCGCCTCCTGCGAGACGAGGAAGTCGTCGAGCCGGTGCGAGCCGGTGATGCGCAGGCAGCGCTCGTTGGCCGTGTGCAGCAGCGCCGTGAAGGCCAGCGCGACGCTGAGGTTGTCGGCCATCTTGGTGCTGATCCGCGCCGGCAGCCGGTGGTACAGCTCGCGGAAGCTGTAGTCGCGGTCGGGCGTCATCTGGTCGGCGGCGGCCTCCTTCCGGACGGCCGGTGGCGAGCCGGAAGCGTTCTCCTGGTGGTGGGCCGGCCGGTGTCAGCGCCGCGCCGAGGCCGGGCGGGGAACTACGGGCCGGACGGGACGGTGGGCAGCGCCGCGCCGCGACCAGGTGGGGGAAACGGTGGGAGCGAGTGGCCAAAATAAGGACCTGCTGGTACCGGTGGTGAAAGTGTGGTGGCGAACGTCCACTCTTGACAATGCTCGCGCGTAATCGTAATTGTAGCAACAATGAGTCTGACGTGAAGGGACTATGTCAACAAGACAACGTTACCACGACCAACTTTTACAAAACACCGCACTGGGCTGGCTAGCTGTCTGATCCAGCAGTACCCAGGCTGACCACTGCAGCCAGCGGCATGGCAACAAAGGCCACAGACCCGGACTTGGGCACGCGTACACAGCACGCGACTGCTCCCAAGAGGCGTTGGCAAGGGGCGCAGATTTCAGCCGATGTGCAACGAAATGGCGCGCGGAAGGGGCGTCACTTGCCTTGTCGTCACGTTTCTTGTCCAGAAGTATCTCCCATATGGCGACTTTCAGTTTCCGCATGTCCATTTTCTTCGCCGTCCTAGCGTATGCAATATGGATCTTTTCCACCTAGGGCAAACAGGATCAGTACGGTACAGACAGCAAATAGCACGTACGAAATTATGGGAGGCGAACGATGACATAGCAAACACACTTCGGCATTGAGCGTCAGCCGGATGGCATGCACTGACGCTCGCTGTCTGTTCAGTCAACAATGACGCCGCCATGGCAAAACACGGCAGACGCACACAGGCAGGCGCTAACCAGCGGCAAGTGGCCGCACAAACAGGGCCGTGGCGGCCACATAGCAGCGGCGATCCCGCGCGCGACACACACACACACGCACGCACGCACGCATGCGCGCACGCACGCACGCACGCACGCACGCACGCACGCACACACACACACAACACACACACACACACACCACACACACACACACACACACACACACACACACACACACACACACACACACAAAGGGCCTCCCGGTGACCAGCTGCCCACTCCGCGCCACGACGGGGGCGGCGCGGCGGCCGGCGCGCGCCGTTACCTTGTGCGGCGCCTGCACCAGGCTCTCGCCGCTGAGCTGGGTGGCCGACGGCGGCGGCGCCGCCTCCTGCAGCTCGCTGGCGTCCCACACGCTCGCGCCGCCGCCCGACGGCAGGAACGTCGCCTCCTGGTCATAGTCGTCGCAGTCGTCCTGCGGCCGGTCAGCGCGGTCAGCGTCGGCTCGGCTCGAGGGCGCGGCGGGGCGGGGACGGCGGGCCGCAGGCACGCAGCGCGCGGGCACGCAGCGCGCGCCGGGCACGCGTCGCACGGAGCCCGGCCCCATGGTGCCGCCCGTTTCGGCCCGACGCGAAACAGATATGTCAGCCCAGCCGTCTGTTCACCACACTTGACCGCGCGAGTCACTCGCCGCGCTGGTGTTCGGATAAGCCTTCGACCAGTTGGAACACCGCCAGTTGGAACACGGTCAGTTGGAGCCAGTTTACACACATCCCGTTGCATTGGCTTGTGATGCCGTCATCCTACGTGATTCGGACCGCACAACTCGGTGCATTTCCCCCTATATTGCTGCGAATTTTAACGTGTTACCAAAAGCAACGACAACACTTCCTTTCTCATACTCGCCGGAGGAATTGGACGCCTCAAGCGACATCGGGCCTACTGTGTCTACCAATGTTTGTGAAATGGACCAGGGCACTAATCACTTCACTATCGGGACCAGCGCATCAGCCACTTCCCTATCGGGACCAGCGCATCAGTCACTTCACTATCGGGACCAGCACACCAGCCACTTCACTATCACGACCAGCACACCAGCCACTCTACCATCGGGACCAGTGCACCGACCACTCCACTATCGGGACCAGCACACTAACCACTCCACTATCGGGACCAGCACACTAACCACTCCACTATCGGGACCAGCACACTAACCACTCCACTATCGGGACCAGCACACTAACCACTCCACTATCGAGACCAACAAAAAACTGCACTATCAGGACCAGCGCACTAACCACTCCACTATCGGGACCAGCAAAAAAACTGCACTATCAGGACCAGCGCACTAACCACTCCACTGTCGGGACCAGCGCACCAACCACTCTCCACCATCGGGACTACTACGCTGAATGACGACTGCGGCAAGTACGACAAGCACTCCAGCCAGAGAGCAGCACTCACAGTCTGCGGCAGGTCGGGACAGTAGTTTTGCGAGTCGCGCTCGTTGTCGTAGTCGTAGTCGGCCACGCTGCCGTCCAGGTCGTGCTGGGCGTCCGCCGCCGACGCCACCTCACGCACGATGCCAATGTCGGGCCGCAGGAACAGCCTGCCGCGTCAGGGCCGGGCACGGGTCAGACGGAGGGAAGGAGGCGCTGGCCGTCCCGGCCCCAGTCCGCGCCAGCTACAGCTGCGGCCGCCGCCAATCGTGATGATGGGTGTGGCCGGGATGCCGCGATCAGAATTTCGGGTCACGTGACTTTCGTTAGCGTGACTTCCGTTATTCACGTTAGCGAGAATACGATACAGGACTGATGCACTCCAGCGGGAATGCCTGCGAACAAAGATGCCCACATTTACGAACGAATGGGCATGCATCGGGAATGAAGTAGTGAGAACAAAACTAAATTCGACGATCTCACATGACAATAAAGCAGCCAAGGGCGTGATATCAGTAGAGAATACCCTGCCTGGGACACCAAGTTACACTAAATCATTTTAAAACGGCAGTCAATTCCTTAACAAATTGCTACCCACCCAGTGACACCAATTTGTCTTGAAGGTCGACCTTATTTACACACACTTCCTACTGTACCACAGTTTGATTCCATACACCTACACTCAGCCTAAAGAATTATTGAACTTCTGTCCAGAAGTAATAAACACATACATTTTACTATTCGTTAACCAGTGATGATTACCTACAACCATAAGACAATTAGCTGGAATATAATTATGTTGTGTCGCATGTGTGACACAGTTCTGGCTGGTTTGAGAACAAAATAAATCCACGCAATCGAACCCGACTTGTTGAGAAGAAATCTCTCACTTGTCTCATATCACTACAAAACATCGACATGCTGACCCTGGCATTATAAGGATGTTTGAATCACACCACTCTAGTTATCACAACCAATCATTCATGCATCCTTCATTGCCATTAGACACACGTAGTCGGCGGCAACTAATAGCCAAAATGTGTCCCAGGCTGCTTAATCCCTCACCGAAATTTTATCCCACACCATTGTCGACGATTTTTTCAGGACTTGGGGAGAGCAAGGGCTTGAATAACCGCAGTTTTAACCTAGTTTCCTTCTAACAGCTTACGATTGCAGCCTAATTTTGCCAGCAATGACTGTCTCGTCCGATATCCCCTGATCCACCACCATTGTTAAGCCCTGCTCCCTAGACAAAGCGTCCTCATATCCGGGACTTGGTGAGCTTTGTCACCTAGCGACCTAGTTGATGAGCTGATTGTATCGCCCAGGACGGTGGGCACGCCAGAGGAGCACTCTTACATCCACTGGATGTGTCGGCGAGTCAATATATATATATATATATATATATATATATATATATATATATATATATATATATATATATATATACGGAACGTCAGGCGTTCTGACGCCATCCATGAGCCGGAAGCCAAACATATCCAATTGCTGTAACAGCACTCCTCCGCTACACGCTTGCATTAAACACCAGTGATTCGCTTCGGGCCATTCCGCCGGCGGCAGACCAGCCGAGCCAATGCCGGCTGGCTGCGAGCGGCGCCGGTCAGCGGGCGGGGCCGGCCGGCAGGTGGCGGCCGGCCCCGTCTGCCGGAGCCAGTCTGCGGCCCCGGAGGACCGATCCCAGCCTGGCCGGCCGGTGATCTCGGACACTGCTGACGCTGCCTCCCAGTCTCACGGGTCCGACGAGCGGAGCGGCGGCACCGACACGGTGCGGAAATGACACCCAACTGGCGCTTGTCGTCATATGCCTCCCAAAGCACTTGTGCATTCTCGGATAATCATTTGCATTTGGCGTGCACGATGGTCACATTTTAACCTCCACACGTCTTCAAAATACGTCGCAACTAGAACAAGCCTACACTTGGCTCACAGAGGCACGATCGATTGAAATCTATCGGCCACTTCCGCACGCAAAATCCACACGCGCAGAACACGCTCCTCCTTCTCCCCTCCCGCCCGGTCGGCACCGGCCGCGGGCAATCTGCCCCGTCAGCGCCGGCTCCGACCGGCGGCGAGCGCGGCGCGGACGGCGGCGGGCCGCGCGTCAATATTGGCACCGCAGATCTGGCGGCCACCCCGGGGACCGCCGGTCGCGCGCGCCGGGCCGCTCCGCTTGTTTTGCCGACTGACTGAAGGGCCGACGCGTCCGCCGACGGAGCGTCGAGCCGGGCGAGCCGAGCGGCGCCGCGGCCGCGGCCGGTGCCCCCGCGTCTCGGTGGCGAGCCGCGCCACGGCTCGGCACGGCGGAGGGCGGAACACCACACGAACAAACGGAGACAGATGGTTCCGCCTGGCGATTCTTCGGGGAGGTTCAATGCTACCGTCGATTCATCGACAGATTCTACGCCGACAACGGCTATTCGATGACCAGCCTATGGCCGTTCACAGTCTGGGGACTGCATCATAAATCACTATGCCGTTTGCATTCGCGTCTATAACGGGACCGAATTCCAATTAGACGACCACGCCCGATCAGCATCGGCCTTATTGGAATGGCCGGAGCGGCCGAGAGGCCGACGAAGGACCGAAATGGCCCGCCACGGGACGGCCCAGCTCACAAAAACGGGAGCGTGACGGCGACACGTGGTCACCTGCGTCGTCCACCCGTTCCCTCGATCAGCGCCCGGCTGCGTGTCCAGAGCGCACCACATTATCGCCACTCGACGCCGTCCCATCGCGGGGCTCCGTTCATTAGTGGCGATCGGTAATGAGGCGGCGGTCCGGCCCGCGAGTGGGCCTAAATTCGGCGCCGGCATCGCCGCGCTGCTCTCATAAGCGGCCGGTCTGCGCCGCGTGCCCGAGGGCCGCTCTCCGGGTGCGGGCCACCGGATGGTCCTCCTCCGAGCCGAGCGCTCTTCCGAGCCGCCCGGCTCGCTCGGTCGATCCCGGCCGACGCGCGGCCGGCGGCCGGCCGCGGTGTGACGGAACCTGTCGTCGCCGCCCATCTCACTGCGGCCGACGCGTCCGCTGCGATAGAACAGGCGCCGCTCGCTCCCGACCGGAATAGCCGGCCGTCGTGCCGCGCGCGCCTGTCTGGGGGCGCCTCCAGGGCTGCTGGGTCCGCCCGCGACGGCGGGCAGCGGCGCTCAGGGCGAAGACAAAGGGCAGCAGAACACGAGTCAACATCTGTTAAAGACTAGCCCCATTCTTCTGGTCGGAGTTGGAGCAACTCGCGACAAGCGCAGTAAATAAGATCAGTCTGACAGACCGCGTACCTGATGAGATGAATAGCAGCATAACCGTTCTCGTCCATAAAAGGTAACGTTGAAAACAAAATGTCACCTGGGCCGATTAGCTTCCCGAGTATATATATATATATATATATATATATATATATATATATATATGCAAACACACATCCATACATATACGTATATAACTAAATAAATAAATATATATATATATATATATATATATATATATATATATATATATACCAGATTGCACACGATCCGCTCAGATGCTGCTATTAAGGGAATGTTCTAAGGTAGCTTAGAGCTTAAGCTCTCCAGCAACACCGATCACATTGGCCTCATGTTGGACGGGATTCCGAATCCCTGCAATCTAACAAGAAACTTTGTCAGGAAATCAGATAGGTCTCTGGTTTAGAACTGAACCTGCGGAGAACGCGGACCGGAGCAGCATCGTCGCCCGAGGTCAGACACGCGGCCATCAAACACCTGCAACGACGCCCAACCAACGAATTCCGGAAATGCACACCACCCAGCCACACAGGTCATCACCCTGGAGCTTATCAGGGTCAGCGACCGTTCTCCCAGAAACTGGATGCGTGTGTCATTGGGGCTTTACGACGCACTCAGCTGCTGAGGCTATATGGCGTCACCTGCCTCTCACTCTGGCAGGAAGGGCGGGCACCGCGGGGAATCGAACCCCGTACCTCTGGTTGGAAAGAGAGAAAATGGATCACATCCCCACATTTCAGCTGTCGGTCGAGACGCGCCATCCCTCCTGGACCGGGAGTGTGCACGCGACAAGCGCACCCGGCACGGCCGCGGCCTGGACCGGAGCGTGGGGGGGGGGGGGGGGGGGGAGGGGCGCCTGCTCCGCTGCATTGTTAACGCGCCGATGGATGGTCTGTCGCGGTCGCTCTCGTCACACGATCGGAGCGCACGGGGCCGGCCCAGAAGGTGGCGCCCCGAGCAGGCCGGGCCGTTCAGGTCGGCCGCGGCGACAGGGCAACGCCGACGGCCGCCACCGAGGACACGGACCGACAGAGCTCCGCGGGGTACGCGGACTCGCGTCTCCACAGGCACAAAGGCATGCAATCGGCCCTCCTCTCATCCGGCACCGGTACACCTCGTGTTTTCGGTCCGGGTTCCCGGAACACACGGCTAAGCTGTCAGCAAACCATTACGCAAGCCTTATAAATTGTCAGTTGTCTAGCACACTTAAGTGATGTCGGCAACATTTACACCTGTCACCGGCATCCGTCATCACATTTTTATCGTAAATAGCCGGGTCGGATAGTGCAAAAGGCCATACGAAGTGTTTCTGCGGAGGACATATTGGTTGAACGACTTCAAAGGTACTCTAAAAATATTCTAAAATAAAAAACAGCGGCAATTTAAAGCTTCATTTTACAGAAACCAATTGGTAATAAAACATCTGGACACCGCTTGATGTCAGTTTCACTTCCTTTCAGAGGTACTCGCCCGCGGCAGCGAACCGTCTCGGCCCCTGCCCAACTGACGCGAGACGGCTCTCAAACGTTACCCAATGGCCCGCATCGCTATAAGGTGGAGGTTGCAATATGCGGAAGGTCTGGTCCATGATTAGAACGGCTGAGTCGCCGAAAGAGATCAAGGTAAGTGCTTTATGTGAGCTCCAGTGCCTGCTATTCAAGCCAGCAAGTACGGCTGTTCACATCGATTCAAAACCTGGCTGCCGTTCGCGAGGCACTGAAAAGTTGCGCAGCTCGTGTGATCACACATAGAAAAAGCCTTTGGCAGATACATGAGAGAAAAGGCGAAAGTTGGCCGTATGAAAGAATTGACGCTATATAAAATATCATACAATTGAGCCACCACTTTTGCGAACGATGCTTTCGAAATATCAAAATTTAATTACTGGTTTCAACTAAAATATTTATGATTAACATTCCGGCTTCGCACAACGCTTTTTGACGACACCTTATCATTTATGACAACAACTAACGCTCTCCTCTTCCTAAGCGGGGCACACAATCCTCCTCACGTTACCCAGGAAGAAATCTACATGACGTTGAAAAGTCATCAGCCAGAGGGTCCAATTTTTCGGCGCAGTTAACTGTGCCGGACGTCCGACCAGCCTGCGCCGCCGCGCTCCTGGCGGCGGCGCCCTGCGGTTGGTGGCGCGCGCATCCCGGCGGGAGGCGCGCCGCCGGCCGGCCTCCCGAAGACCCCCCAGCCGGCGGTGGCCGCTGATGAACAAAGTCGGCAAGCTCCGGCTGACCGCAGCCCGCGTTTTAGCAGGCGGCCGGCATTGTTTACGACGGGTGTTGGCGGCCCGCGGCAGCCGCCGCGCGACGGCACGCCAGGGCGCCGCACAACCTCGGCAGCGGCGCCAGCCGCGCGCCGGCGGGACCCTGCCGGGGCGCCGTCGACCGTCGACGCCGCCTTATGCCGGCACATCCGCAACCGCGGCCTGACGCCTGTCCGCGGCGCCAGCTCAGGCGACCCACTTGAACACGGCGGCGATGTCGTAGTGAAGGTCCTCGGGAGCGTGGTCTTCTCCTCGTTCCACTTCTTCATGGTGGCCGGCTTTAGCTTGATGGACTTTTTGGACGGCGCGAAGGCGTCGGCCCAGTCGCACTCCTCGGCGAAGTCGATGGCCTCGGTATCCCGCTTGCGGCGCGGCTTGGCGGCGTCCGGCGCCGGCCCCTGGCGGCCTGCCGGGCGGAAGGGGCGCGTCAGCCGACCGGCTGGCGGGGCGTGGGCAAGACCCCAGACCTGGCCAGGGACGGGGCAGGGCAGGGACAGATACCTGGGCAGGGCCGGGGCAGGGCAGGGACAGATACCTGGGCAGGGCCAGGGCAGGGCAGGGGACCGAGGGACGGAACAGGGCAGGAACCGAGACCTGCAGCTGGGCGGGGGCAGGGCGAAGAACCGAGACTTGGGCACGGACGGGACAGGGCAGGGACCGGGTAAAGTGGATCACGGCCAGCGTTGGCTCGTCACCCGGCTAAAACACCATCTTTGACGCGTTCAGGTTCGTGCCGGTTAAAACTGGCGCAAACCAGCAAAAGCTCAGAAAACCATACTCTTCCTTACTTCATCAAGCATATCATCATATTGTAGTTACGATGTTCCCTATCCAATTAAGGCAATGCCAAAAATGGCGATGTGAACAGCGCTTCGCGCCGACGGCGGATGGAAGCACGCGGTGTATTTGCTACAACTGGCACGTAATTAGCATCTGGACCCGTGTTCCAGGACCAACGGTGACAGGCGATATGGCGATGACTGCCCCTGCCGTCAGGGGTAAAGTGCTGTCACTCAGACGCGCGGCATCATTACCCATCAGCTAGTAAGCATGGACGCACGCACGGAGGCCGCCTTGAACGACATTGAGCACTATGGAATCTAGTCCAGGCGGTGGGCGCTATAGTGGACGCTCGACATTTTGTAATGATGTAAATACGATAAAGCCGTAATCAACGCTGATGCCGCGCTGCTACACTTGCGAGGTGCATTTGACCTGATGAGTCTGTAAGCAGACACTTGCCAATTAGTCGGTTGCTGAGCTGGTAAGTAAAAATAACGCCGTTGAATAACGACTAGTCTAGTTTTAACAATAACGTTACGCTTGTCTTGGGCTCACACTTGCCGCGTTATCATGCATTTACGCCGCATTTTAAATCACATGGCGAACACCTTTGCATTACCAACAGGCGGGACGTGCAGTACGACAAGGGTATCTGACACTGATAGGCCAGACCATATAAGCGGACATATTCCTGTAGAATGCGTCTGTTTTGCTGGACACCGGACTTGTGTGCTCATTGTCTCGTGATGTCGTAACCGAGGGGTCACCAGTCAGCTGACGCGCTTTACGATGTGACAGTCTTCCCAGCCGATGCAGACGCCTGTTCCATGCGTATGTCTACAACGTCTGATTGTGCGGGGGTTGTTCACGTTAACCTTATCCGTGCATGGACGTTAAATAATATTTTTACAGCGCTTGAGTTCTTGTTGCTTTCTACACTTATTGGCCACCGAAAGTAACAGTTTCTGCTGATCCGTTCGGACTGGTAACACCTGACGGGCACACTTCACTAATTCTGCCTGCGGCTGCTAATGCCGGCTGTGCCGCCCGACGCTGGGGACGGGTGGGGCGGGTCAGCCGGGGGTCACCGTGACGCCACACAACAGACATTTCAGAACTGTCCTGGCTGCTGTTCAAGACAACACCCCACAAGGAGCCGGTTACAGGCGCTTTTCAAGTGATGCTGGTGCGAACGTCGTCAAGCGCGTCGCTTTACAAGGGAGGGCGAGGGAGGGGGGGGGGGGGATATCCGTTCATGCGCCCGCATCCCTTGACCATTCACTGTCGCAGCTCAGAACCCTACACACACAAAAACGGCGACCAACTGCGCGACGGTCCTCTGACTTCTGCGCGCACCGGCCCGGTGGCGACAGGGCGCCAGCGGCGGCAGGCGGCCCTGACCCCGCGGCTGACCCCGCAGCTGACCCCGCGCTGACCCCGCACCCCGCGGCTGACCCCGCGGCTGACCCCGCGCGCGACCCCGCGGCCCCCCGGCTGACCCCGCGGCTGACCCGCGGCTGACCGCGGGCTGACCCCGCATGACCCCGCGGAGACCCCGCAGCTGACCCCGCGGCTGACCCCGCTGCTGACCCCGCGGCTGAACCCCGCGGCTGACCCCGCGGCTGACCCGCGGCTGACCTGTCAGCGGACGCAGCTCCAGTGCCGGGCCCGGCCCAGGCCAGCAGGCGGCGCTGGTCGAAGTCGAATCCTCCCTCCTGCGGCACGGCCGACACCAATGTCTGAGCAGGGCGGCGGAGGCGGCGCCGGCCGGCGGCAGCCGGCGCCGCCCGCGTGACGCCGCCGTCTCCGGCCGCCGCCTCGTCGTCGTCGCACGCTTCGTCCGTCATCGCGCGGCAGAAGAGCGTTACGGCGGCGCGCCGGACGGTCTCGCGATGGGTTTCGGACGGGGGGCCGGCACACTCCGGCGCACAGCACGCCACCGCGCGGCAGGCGGTTTGCAAGACAGCGGGATGGTGAACACAGACGTGTGCAATTAGCAGGGCCGGCCAGCTGTCGCGCAATCTCCCGCTGGCTGTGATTTTCCAAGGCCGAAGAAGCATACGGCGGTTCGGGACTCGGTCAATGGACTTTCCGATGACGAAACGCAAGCCCTCGACACAATGCCTCTTCCGCCCACTCCAAGTCCGTGGGCCAAGGCGCACGGCACGCCAAGGCACCATAAAGGAGCCCGGCCCGTCAGGATCGGGCTACACCGCAGCACTCACAAAGCGGGTCAGACAACACAAGCCATGAACACGACCGCGCCGTGCACAGGCCATCCGAACACAACGCGCCAAAGGTCGCCGCCTCCTGCCGCAATCGCTACCACCTCCGCACGCCAGCGCAATACTTCTTCTTTCCCCGCGCGCCCCGCCCCTGGCGTGCCGGATTTCCGAATGGGGTCGGTACAAAAGCGCCGCATATTGGCACTCGCCAATGGCCAGCCGGCCCGCGGCGCGGCGCGTGAATGGGCGGGCCGCAACCGCGGCCGGCCGGCGCCACAATTCGTCACGGCAGGGCCGGCGCCAAGCACCTATTGATTGCGAACGGTATACGCTGCTAATGGTGCCAAGATATATGTTCGCGCAGAGCCATCTGCCAGCGCCCGGCGCGAGGCACCGCCGCGCCCGAGCGGCACACGCGGAGCAGTGGCCGGCAATGGCACCGGCGGGTGGCGTCTGCCGCCACGGAACTCGCAGCCGGCGGAGGCGACACACGGGACAACAGCCCCATCTCGTCCGCTTTCCCTGCGTCCGCGGGCGGGGTTCGCGACCGAGGAGCTCGTCACAACGCGTCTGGTGTTGAGGCTACACACCGCTGTTACACTCGACGGCAGAGCGACGCGGCAGAGACGACACCCGAGTATGCAGCCGCTCGCACAGAGAAAGCGGTCAACACGCGCGCGAAGAGTCGCAAGTCCTCAGCGCTGTACTAACCAGACGTTTACCACAGTGACTGATTTATTGATTACGGGAGTGTCCGACACGTCAACTGGTGGGGTCATTTCGCGCCGGATGCATAACGCATGCTTTTGAGGAAAATTATTCCCACGGGTTTTGGGGAAAGCTACAGCTCCGATAACCTGCCCCGACCATTTGCTTACTCCTCCATGGGCCTTGTAACCAACTGCATGCAAACAGATCAGCTCTGAGCAATTAGGTTACAGCGCGCAGTGTGCTGCGAACAGAACGAGAGTTCTCATGCGTAAACAGTTCCCTAATAGGTTTAAGTGAAGTAGATTGACCGTCGGAAACGCCGAGTTCAAACCATTACACGCAGCTTCGCGTTATTCGAGTCGAGGGAGAGATGTGCATATCAAACTCACACCTGCGCGAATGATCCGTAAGGCGGACATTTGGTTCACGGCACGAATGCACAACACGATAATTTCGACCTTCTGGCGCCGCCACTGCATGCCCAAATTGAGCCACCGAGGGGATATGTTTTAACTGCGGCGATCATCACCCAGACAACGAACGGGTCGCCCCACTCATCCCTGCGCTTGTCCACTTTACCCGACACAGCCTCGTCATTTCCGGCGCCGCGCCATCCACGCCGCGACACCGCCCCGGACAAATTGGCGGGAGGCACGGCTGTCCCGGCGGACCCGCGCCGGCGCCTCACTCACCGCCAAACTCGTCATCAGCCGGCTCCTCCATGATGACGCTGTGACCGCGTTGATGTCGAACCTGCCGGCGGCGCAGCGGCAGGCGTCAGGCCGACGCAGCCAGCTCCGGGGAAAGCGAGGGCGTCCCTCGCTACCGCGCGGGTACCGGCGACCCCGCCGAAACACAGCTCCACCTTCGGCACACCCGCACGCCCGGGCCTGGCCTTGGGTGCTCCTGTACCCGTGTCTGATTCGGCACACACCGCGGCCGGTTCTAGCGCCCGCCTGGTACTGCCACGTCCTAATCTGGCACGCCTCCACTGTGCATGCGTCTGACCCGGGACACCTGCTGCATAGAGCAACCCCCATAGGTGCTGCGCGTTCTGCTTCTCGCCTGGTCTGTATCTCGTCTGATCTTTGCCTCGCCTGGTCTGTGTCTCATCTGGTCTGTGTCTCGCCTGGTCTGTGTCTCCGTGTCCATGTCTCGCTTGGCCTGTGTCTCGCCTGGTCTGTGTCTCCCGTGTCCATGTCTCGCCTGGTCCGTATCCCGCCTGCTCTGTGTCTCGACTGGTCTGTCTCGCATAGTCTGTGTCTCCCGTGTCCATGTCTCGCCTGGTCTGTGCCTCGCCTGATCTGCGTCTCGCCTGGTCTGTGTCTCATCTCGCCTGTGTCTCGCCTGGTCTGTGTCTCCCGTGTCCATGTCTCGCCTGGTTCGTGCCTCGCCTGATCTGCGTCTCGCCTGGTCTGTGTCTCATCTCGCCTGTGTCTCGCCTGGTCTGTGTCTCCCGTGTCCATGTCTCGCCTGGTCTGTGCCTCGCCTGATCTGCGTCTCGCCTGGTCTGTGTCTCATCTCGCCTGTGTCTCGCCTGGTCTGTGTCTCCCGTGTCCATGTCTCGTCTGGTCCATGCCCCGCCTGCTCTGTGTCTCGACTGGTCCGTCTCGCACGGTCTGTGTCTCCCGTGTCCATGTCTCGCCTGGTCTGTGCCTCGCCTGATCTGCGTCTCGCCTGGTCTGTGTCTCATCTCGCCTGTGTCTCGCCTGGTCTGTGTCTCCCGTGTCCATGTCTCGTCTGGTCCATGTCCCGCCTGCTCTGTGCCTCGTCCGGTCTGTGTCTCGCCTGATCTGTGTCTCGCCCGGCCTGTATCTCCCGTGTCCGTGTGCCCAGCCGGCCGCCGGGCCTCTCCGGCCGTCCCCAGCCGTCTCACCTGTGCCGCAGGTCGGCGGGCGGCGCCGGCGGCGGCGGCGGCAGGTCGGCTCCGGCCTCCTCGAAGCGCTGACCGTCACGCTCGTCCGCCAGACTCCAGCCGGAGAAGGAGAAGCCCTGCAGCGGCGCGCACAGCAGCCGGCCGCCGAGCTCTGCCGGACGGTCGGCGGTCAGACAACGCTCAGACGTCTGGTTCCCCCCGCCGCGCCGCACCGCCGGGGGGCAGACGCCTGGGCGTCAGCAGACGCCCGCCTAGTTTGGTGCGTGGAGGCGCTAGCTTGGGGAGAAATACAGACCAACAGCCAGCCGACTGTAGGCAGAGTGCGCGGATTAGCGACAGGATGCCAACTGGGTGTGCAACCTAAAAGCATATACAAATAATAAAACCCCGTTACATGGGACATCCTGGACATGGCCATCCCAGCTTTTTTTAAAAAAGCTGCAAGCCAAATGCTTGTTGAAAAGGAAGACCTGGTACGCTGCGCCATACCGTTTTATGGTGTCACTTTAAAAACGTATCACCCAGTGATAGCTGGCGTGTTTGGCAGTTAGGCCGCCGTCGTTCGCTTGCTCTGTTGTTCCTCACTACGTACCACTTTTCTACGTAGTCCGTTACGCAGATTGCACCAGATCCCAGTATTTCGACTATTTCAGGCGCTATGCTCTGTTGTTCCTCACTACGTACCACTTTTCTACGTAGTCCGTTACGCAGATTGCACCAGATCCCAGTATTTCGACTATTTCAGGCGTTAATCATGTAATGGCCGGGAATATCCTGGTGACTGTCCTGCTGTCCCACGACCTCGCTCAGCTCACAGCTCTACACAAAAGCTGTCTTGAAGGGGAGTACTACTGACCGCCCTGCAGCCAGTGTCGCTGTTTTGCTTCCCCGCGAGTACATCGCTCGAGGGGACAGAACTGTAGCGGAGACATGTCGCCGGACCCCCAATGCCAGGTCAGCATACTCTAAGGTCCCGGCACATGCGTGTACTGCAGCGCGAACACGCATCCGCGGAAGACTGACGCGATGAACGTCAAAAACGGTCGAATGAATGCAGTAGTGTCACGGTGGTGAAACTGTCCCGCAAAGCAATAAAAATAAAAAAAACAAAATATGCGACATCACAAACTACCACAACTGCGTCTAACGCATACAGCTAGGACATCTGACCCGGCTGGCGAGTCCCCGTACCCCGTTCCGGTTCCGGTCCCCGTCCCGGTCCCCGTCCCGGTCTGGTCCCGGTCCCGCTCTGGTCCTGTCCCGGTCCGGCCCCGTACGCTGCCCATCTGAACTGACCGGGCGGCGCCAGGTCCGGCCGCGCGTCATGCTCCCCCTCGCGCTCCTCCGGCGGCGGCGGGCCGGCCTCGGTCGCGGCACCGGCCTCCACCATCAGCTCCTGGGTGTCGTCGCGCGGCGGCAGCGCGCCCAAGAAGGCGGCACCGCCGGCGCGGCCCTCGTCGGCCGACACGCGCAGCAACCGGGCCAGCAGCGGGTCGGCCGGCGCCGCGTCGCCGCCGCTAGCGCGTGCCGTGATGTTGGCCAGGTGCGTTCGACAGTGGCGTGGCGGCGAGCCTGGGCGCGGACACAGCGGCGGCGTCACACCGAGCCGACGACACAGACACGGGCAAGTCGTCACAGCGGGCAAAGCATAACACGATAAAACGATTAAATAAAGTTTGGTTACCTTGCCGAAATGGGGGTTAATAAGGTGTTTTGTCGAAGTACAGCTTGCTATGACATGCCCATTTCAGACGGGTGATCCCCATCTCTCCTCTTCTGCTACGAACATCTTTACAACGCGGCCTGACAGCCTAAAAGCTGGAAAAGACCGACGCACCGCGTAGCAAAAGCACAACTGAGGATGACAAACTATCCCACGAACACGCCAGCGATGCGCCTCAACAGCTCACATCACACGCCCCATGAAGCCCCACGCGTCGTTCGGCGCCCTCGCTCGTCCGCCGGGCAGCGCCACTGCGCCGGCGGCGGCGCGCCATCCGGCCGTACCTTCCTGCGCCGTTTGTCGGCGCCGCCCGGCTCCGGCTGGTCGCCGTCGGCCGGCTCGCCCTCCTCGGCGGTCTTCTGTTTGTTGTCGGCGCGGCCCAGGCCGCCGGCCATGCGTAGCGTCTCGCCGTGCAGCACCTCCACCCGGTAGCCGTAAATCTTGGCTGAGGCGTCCAGGGTGTAGCTGGCCACCTGTGGCAGGCGGCGCCGGTCAGCCCGCCGAGTCGCGGTGAGGGAGTCTGGTCAGGTCACAGTGGTGGGAGTCTGGTCAGGTCGCGGTGTGGGAGTCTGATCAGGTCACAGTGTGGGAGTCTGGTCAGGTCACAGTATAGGAGTCTGGTCAGGTCGCGGCGTGGGAGCCTGGCCAGGTCACAGTTGGAAGTCTGGTCAGGTCGCAGTGGGGGAGTCTGGTCAGGTCGCGGTGTGGGGAGTCCGGTCAGGTCACGTTGAAAGTCTTCACAGGTCATGGTGTGGAAGTCTGGTTAGGTCAGGTCACTGTGATGGGGTACAGTTAAGTCAAGATGGTGGAGTCTGGGTCAGGTCATGGTGTGGAAATCTGCTCAGGTCGAGGGATGAGAGTCTGATCAGGTCACAGTGTGGAAGTCGGGCCATGTCACGACGCGGGAGTCTGGTCAGGGGTCACGGTGTGACAGTCTGGTCAGGTCACGATGTGACAATCTGATCAGGCCGCAGTACATGATCCTAGTCAGGTCATAGTAACAAAAGATCATGTCACGAAAGCAAAGACAAGTCGGTCCACGGATACACGACTGTCTCACACCAGCTCGCAGAAACAGCGTAACGCGGCACCACGCAGCCCCCAACGACCCGGCCAAATGCTGACAGAAGACGCCAGCCGACCGTTCAAGACGGCGCTGTCACGGCGCCCGCCCGCCCCCCCCCCCCCCCCCTCCCCCTCACCTGGAAGTTGTCGAGGTCCGACTTCTTCTGCCGCAGCATCTGCGCCATGCAGTCGATCAGCTGCAGGCTGAAGGCGTTCTTGGCGCTGATCTTGTTCTCGGCGCTGAGCTTGATGCAGTTGGAGTAGTGCGCGGCCAGCTGGCCGTGGCTGAGACCGGCGATGGCCGGCAGCGAGCGGCGCCGCTCCGTGGCCCTGCGCCGCCTGCTGCCGCTGCAGCTCACGCTCCGCCTCGTCATCCAGCTGCCGGCCGGCGGACTCAGGTCAGTGGTCAGAGATCAGCGGTCGGCTGTCAGAGGTCAGCCACAAGAGGTCAGAGATCGGCTGTCAGAGGTCAACTATCGTTCCACCTGACCGGCATGGTGCGAAATACGATTGAATACGTGCCGTAATGTAACCAGCATGCGGAAAGTTCTCCTTTAATCACTCAACGGTACGCTGGCCAGGCAATTGTCACCTATCCGCCCTATCTGTGTCCATCCAACAGCGCTATAGCAAGGGTCAGCCAAGGCCGAATCAGGCCGGAAACCAATGCCCGAGATGCGGACATGAATCGCACACATTGGATTGCAGATAATGACTGAAGCAGACTTGAATGTCATTTTGTCGCCAATCCCGACCACTTGAGAAGCAGCGACGTACCGACCCAGATTGTCCATGCCCCGAACGGGTCGATCCAAACGTCATCATTTTCTCTGGGCGTCCGAGAAGCGCATCGGTGAGTTCGGGTCCAATCCGCGGGCAGCCACTCCCCGCTACGCCGTGTGACGATCCAGCCCATCCCCCACCAGGCTGAGCGTGGCCCGCGTGTCTCGGCGTGCACCGAGGGCAGCCCCAAACGACCATGGCGGCACTGGCGGACGCGCACCGCCGGCGGGCTGGGCGCGCCGCCCCGCGCGAGCTGTCACCAGCCGCCGATACAGCCGCCGGCGGCCGCGGGGGACGCCGCACATACGCCACACCGCGCGCTGGTGCGCCCCCGGCGCGGCGCGCGTCCGCTCCGTACCTGCGGGATGTCGAACGGCTCGGGCTGCCGGCGGCGGCGTGGCTGGCGCGGCGCGAGCCCGGCGGCGTCTTGGCCGTCTTCGGCCGCCGCCAGGCTGCGCCGCAATGGCTGGCGAGGTGGAAGAGCACGCTGCGCCGCGGCGGCGCCGACACCACGTCCGGCCCCCATCGGCTCGGGGACGGCTGCGCACCGGCGGGTGTGCGGCCGGCGCTCACCCAACTCCTGGCAACCGCCAGCCACCTGGAGATGGGTCACATGTGGTCACTCAATCCGGCCCTTCAGCATAGACAACTGAGCTGAATGGTTGATGATGTACTAAATCTCCACACAAATTGCTTTCAGATCAGTGAAAAGTGGTAAGCACAGGTGGTAAATCATGGGCTTGCATGGTGTGCACATGAGTGGAGCTCATCAATCATTTATATATGAACATGCTACAAGGGCTGATTTTTGGCTAGTATGATCAAACCTTACTGCCCTATCATGTAGGGCACTATCATTGCTGAAACAAGCTTAGGTTTCAAAATGTGAAATAAGATGCCTCTCATTCTGTGATTGCTCAAAACTGAGCACAAGTGGGATTACATGGCAGTCACAGTGTTGACACTGGACACACTGACATAAAGTGATAAAGCTCGAACCCCCCTGAAAATAATGTATTAGCTTTGCAAGTCAAGCAGGTGATATATCCTGTTCTTTGGCATTTTTCTGTTTTGCAACATACCACTTTTCATTATTTCAAAATGAGATGATATCAAAGACTACACAGTTTGAAGAATGGAATGTGGCAAAAGGCAGAAGGAAATTGTAACTGACAATTATTACATGGCTTAGAACAAAGCAAACTTTTCAGCAAAAAAGTGGTTGTATCGACATGACAATTTTGGCATGTGCATGCACTCTACCTGATAATGTGAGTGATAACTTTGTCCAGAAGTAATATTCCAAGTCATGTTACAAACATTTTGCTCACAATCAACATTGTTAATTCTTTGGAACTTTGCCACTTGATGCACTGGAGCTAATTTACATTACATTATAGCATTTTTCTATTTGATAATTATAATTACATAACCATGTAGAAAATATGATTAAACCTAAGCACTTAACATGTTACTGCTTACAGCTCAGTTTTCCATAGCATAACAAGCATTGGCAAAAGAACATCTCAGAAAGGAGGAAACCAAACCAAATCTTAGTTGAATCTTCCAACCACCACCATATTAATATGGACCATTGGTTTGTTCTTTGCAAAAACAAACAAACATGGGGCACCATGACACCAGTGCAAAAAAACATGCGCGCCATGCGGCATTGGTGCACACAACCTTGTGCTCCCATGCAGTAAGCTCAGGTCAGGCTAAATTGTACTTTGGCCTGAAACAACCTCTCCAACATCATAATTCCTTGAGAGAGAAACATGCAGAAACATTTGGAGTACCTCATTTATTTTGCAGGCTGGCTGGGGCATGGAAACTCCTTTTCCAAGCAGCAGAGAAAAAACAGCCTAAGGAGGCCTCTTCAGCTCATTTTCCACTTCTGCTTCACATTCTTTAGTCTTTCACAATGCTATTAAGCAGTGACCACGATGCTTTTGTCAAACTCTCATGCATGCCATTGGATGCAAGGCAAGAACATCAGCACGCTCTGATGTGCTGTTTTCAGTGACAGTATCAAACCCATACTAGCGCTTTTCAGCCATGGTTGCTAGCAGCCCATTTACATGCCTCTGGTAACTTACCAGACACGTCCGATGAAAACGTGTTAATAGAATTCGGGAAGCAGCACGTTCCCAACTGTTTGAGCACGTTTTTACAGCAGCACGAGAATAAGTAACTGACGTCGCTCCTGAAATCTTTCAAACTGTTGTGGGATTACTGTACGGGAGCCGAACAGCACTGGCTCACTAATGCATCATATTCCACCAATGTTATACGGTTGCTGTGTGATGAAACCCGCCGCGCCACTTTGCTTCCAAACTGGCGGTTTCAAATTGTTTACATTCTCAAGAACGATAGAAAAGAAAGGGGCTTGATAGAAATAGGCAGCTAATTTACCGTAATCCCGAAGTGAAGTAAAGAACCTGTTAAAAGTTAAAACAAGTTACGAAGTTACAAATTAACTAGAAGTTGAAATAATGAAGTTAAGAAACTTACGCTGTAATGTCACATTACAGCTCTGGTTTAGCAGCATTACTATTTAGAAATATATGCGCCATAATTGCGTTACCAATGCCTCTTTATTTCACAGCTGAGGCCAATTTTAGGCATGACGTAAAACCAGTCTGTTTTAAGAGGCCCCGGATCCGACTACTTCCTAAACACAAAGGAAAAAGCGTTGGCGCGCGTGGGCGTGGTATTTTCATGAGGAGATGGTTGGGGCTGCGATGTCAAAGCATTGAGACATATTTATCGATATGGCTATGGTGGTGCATGGAGTACGACGGTTATGACTATGGTGTGTATCCTATAAGTTTTCCCAGCGAGTTTTCGCAAATATTAGCATTACCTAGAACTTCTATTTGCCAGCGCATATTCATATGAGGAAAGATGTCCGGTTCAACCAAGATGAACACAGAAGTTGACGCACAATGGGTACCGATCTGTATCCTGTTGCGAGGGCCCTGGTCGCTGATGGTGAGTTGTCCTGTTAAGCATGGTACAAAAATTGAAATAACGTTCAATGGCTGCCTTTTCCAAACATTATTTGCTTGCCACGACTATAATAGTGCTCCAATAGAGGACTTTTCCAAGAATGACCCAAAAATCAAAAACATGGAATTGCTATAGGTTAAAATAAAGAGCGTTAAGACTGATAAAGAGCACTAATTTTCAGCGGAAGGTTAGGTTGCCTGGTCCCCGGCTGCTCCGTCCCCCCCCCCCTACACAATCATTTACCAAAGCTACACTCCTATGACAGCCGGGATTTGTGCAGAGTGCTGAAGCTGCTTCAACGGGATTAGCACGAGAGTGGTTCGTTCCTTTCTGGCCGGACATTCATTAACTAAGCGACGGATGTTTGGCCATTTCAGCCTCCTGCTCTGTCGCAGCTACATACTGGTTGCGTTGGATGAATACCCTTTCCCCTTTGCGTACGCTGTGTTTGGCGTGAGAGCACTACCGGACGCGTTGGTCGGAAGCAACACCCGTTATTGATCTCGGTGTGTTTTATAGGTAGGAAGCCAGCGGTTCCATTCATTGCGGCTTAAAACTTATAAAAATCATGGCATGACTTGCAACCACAGCGTTACACACCAGAACGTAGCGTTACCTTCTCCATCCCTCCCTCCCCTTGTCACGCTCAGGTTATGCTTCGTCAAATTGCCCCCCCCCCCCCGATTATGATTTTGGGGTTCTTATGTTCAGATATCAACCAGGATATGTCAGAAGGCAATGACACAGCCAGGGGGTACATGGGGGCAAGTGTCCCTCTCCTCAGGTTCTGAGGGGTCCGAAGGACCACTCGGAACTTATAATTAAGGACTCTATTAGAGCGCCTGAGGAGTCCGAAAGGCACGCCGGAGGTCGCATTAAGGGGCCCCGGTCCGCGGAACCGGGCACTTCAATGCCAAACAGAGGGCTCTGCGCGCTAACCAGGGGCCCTAGAATCAATAAGGGCTTATATGTCAGTCAGACACCACCAGTAACGCACAGTAGGCCCCTTGTCGGCATGGGCCTGAGGGCCCGTTTCCCAAGCAGGGACGGTGCCGGAACCAGTGATTTACACTGGTCGGAGCCCCTGTATCTGTCAGGGACACACAGGGGCAAAATAACGCTTGCACTTAGTCAAAATAACATTGTGAAAGGAAACCAAAAACTATCATTTTTGTAGGCTTCTGATAAACCAATTTTGGACGGTGACTTGACCTGATTTGGCCTTTGTGGGGAACAGAACTGGTAAAAACGGACTCACCACTATCGTAAGGACTATTTCTGTGCCTCAACATCCGTCTTAACGTGCCAACACACGTTTTAACTGCATATGTCAGCACGACCTCTTTTTCTTTCGTGGCCTCTGGTGACCTCACATTTGACCTAAGGCAAACAAAAAGTTGGGATGCATTCTTCATGATGTGACGAGACCTTAACACCGGTAGTTTTGTCTTTCTCACGCGACGCGTGGAAGTTGGAGATCCGGGGGGGGGGGGGGAGCGTCAAGTTCCCCGAGCCGAGCGCAATTGTCTCAGCCCCGACCGGGCTCAGGTTAATAAGCGCGCACAGGCACACGCACGCCGTTCAGGTATGCATTTAAAGTAGGTCGAAATAGCATTTGCTCAACAGTATTCTATGTGAGCGTTCAGAACAGCTGGAATGCTGTAAATTGAGCATAATACAATTTGAAGCGGATGGAATCCGGTGGGCGACATGGTTTGCTACCTGCGAATACTTTACTTTCCGTACTGCAAACGGCGTCTACAGGACCATGGCTGTTCCATTTTTGTTTGGCAGGTTTTTTTATTCAGGCGCCACCTGTTGCTCACAGGTGTTGAGCTGATGATTAAACCCATGCTTCTCCGCAGAATTTGTCGCACCTTGCACAGAGAGGTGTTCGCGTTTGGTCTGCATGTGAGGTGCATTAATACGCGCGCGGGTGGCCGGCTAGATACTCTTCGCTCGGGTGGGGGGGGGGGGGGGGTCAATTTGACTCCCCCTA